AGACGATAAGATTCAGTTATCCTCTCCCCCTCATTCCTAAAGTGATTGAATCAATGCATGGGGCACGCTTCTTCAACAAATTAGATCTCAGGAGTGCGTACAACCTGGTGCGTATCCGAGAGGGAGATGAGTGGAAAACAGCATTCAGCACAACCACGGGGCATTATGAATATCTGGTGATGCCCTATGGTTTGATAAATGCTTCCTCAGTTTTCCAGTCCTTTGTGAACGAGGTGTTTCGGGACATGCTTGGTCGCGGTGTAGTGGTCTACATCGATGACATCCTGGTGTATTCCGCTACGCGTGCCGAGCATGTGTCCCTGGTTCGCAAGGTGCTGGCCCGACTGTTGGAAAATGACCTTTATGCTAAGGCAGAGAAGTGTATGTTTTTCCAGCAGTCTGTCTCCTTCCTTGGATATCGCATTTCCACCTCAGGTGTGGAGATGGAGGGAGATCACATTTCAGCCGTGCGTAATTGGCTGACTCCAACCACGGTTAAGGAGGTGCAGTGCATCCTTGGCTTTGCCAACTATTATCGGAGGATTATCCGGGGCTTTGGCAAGGTCACAGCTCCCATTACCTCCCTGTTGAAGGGTGGGCCGTCCTGGCTCCGCTGGTCTGCTGAGGCTGACCTTTAGCAAACTGCGGGGTCTGTTCACCTCAGCCCCAGTACTGGCCCACCCTGATTCATCACTACCGTTCGTAGTGGAGGTGGATGCGTCCGAGGTTGGGATAGGAGCTGTCCTGTCTCAACGCTCAGGTACACCACCCAAGCTCCGCCCCTGTGCGTTCTTTTCGCAGAAGCTCAGCCCGGCGGAGCAGAACTACGGCGTTGGTGATCGGGAGCTGTTGGCTGTTGTTCGAGCCTTGACCATGTGGAGGCATTGGCTCGAGGGGGCAAAACACCCTTTCCTCGTCTGGACAGATCACCGTAACCTGGAGTACATCCAGGCAGCGAGGAGGCTGAATCCTAGCCAGGCCAGGTGAGCCCTATTCTTCACCCGGTTTGATTTCACTCTATCATACATCCCGGGTACGAAGAACGTGAAGGCAGACGCACTGTCCCGGCTGTATGACACAGAGGAGAGGCCAAGAGACAACACTCCCATACTGCCGGCCTCCTGCATTGTAGCGCCGGTAGTATGGGTGATGGACGCGGATATAGAGCAGGCATTACGCACGGATCCCTCTCCACCTCAGTGTCCAGATGGGCTGCAGTACGTGCCTGCTCTTATCCGTGATCGTCTGATCTACTGGGCACACACATCACCCTCCTCTGGTCACCCAGGTATCGGCCGTACAGTGCGCTGCCTGAGCGGAAAGTACTGGTGGCCTACCTCCTGCTCGAGGTGCGCCCAGAGTAAGGCACCTAGGCACCTCCCAGCGGGTAAGCTACAACCGTTACCAGTTCCACAACAACCATGGTCTCACCTGAGCATTGATTTTCTAACTGATCTTCCCCTCTCCCAAGGTAACACCACCATCCTGGTCATTGTGGACCGCTTCTCCAAGTCCTGCCACCTCCTTCCTCTGCCCGGTCTTCCCACGGCCCTGCAGACTGCGGAGGCCCTGTTTACTCACGTCTTCCGGCACTACGGGGTACCAGAGGATATAGTGTCTGACCCAGGTCCCCAGTTCACGTCCAAGGTCTGGAAGGCGTTCATGGAACGTCTGGGGGTCTCGGTCAGCCTGACCTCTGGGTTCCACCCCGACAGTAATGGGCAGGTGGAACGGGTAAATCAGGATGTGGGTAGGTTCCTGCGGTCCTACTGCCAGGACCGGCCGGGGGAGTGGTCGGTGTTCTTGCCATGGGCAGAATATGCCCAGAACTCTCTCCGCCACTCCTCTACTAACCTAACGCATTTCCAGTGTGTTCTAGGTTACCAACCGGTTCTGGCACCGTGGCACCAGAGCCAGACCGAGGCTCCTGTGGTGGATGACTGGTTTCGGCGCGCGGAGGAGACGTGGGATGCTTCCCACGTTCACCTCCAACGCGCCACGCGTCATCAGAAGGCCAACACTGACCGCCACCACAGTGAGGCCCCCGTATTTGTACCGGGGGATCGGGTCTGGCTCTCGACCCGGAATCTGACCCTCCGCCTGCCCTGCCGGAAGCTGAGCCTGCGGTTTGTGGGGCCGTTTAAAGTCCTGAGGAGAGTCAACGAGGTCACATATAGGTTATTACTTCCCCCTGATTACCGAATTAACCCCTCGTTTCATGTGTCTCTCCTCAGGCCGGTGGTAGCTGGTCCGCTCCAGGAATCTGAGGTGCGGGAGGTCCCTCCACCTCCTCTGGACATCGAGGGGGCCCCGGCGTACTTGGTCCTTTCCATCCTGGATTCGAGGCGTCGGGTGGGGGGCCTTCAGTACCTCGTGGAGTGGGAGGGGTACGGTCCGGAGGAACGGTGCTGGGTCCCGGTGAGGGACATCCTCGATCCCTCCATGTTACGGGATTTCCACCGTCGCCATCCGGCTTGCCCTGCTCCGCGTCCTCCTGGCCGTCCCCGAGGCCGGGGTCGGTGCGCAGCTGGAGCCGCGCGTCAAGGGGGGGGGTACTGTCACGACTTCCGCCGAGGCTGCCTCCCCTCCTTGTTCGGGCAGGTTTCGGCGTTCGTCGTCACCGGGTTACTAGCTGCTGCCGATCCATTTATCATCACTCCACTTGTCTTGTCTAATTAATCACACACACCTGGTCCTTATCCCCAATTAGTCATTGTATGATGTAATACTTATTTCCCTCATTAAAATGCAAATCAATTTATAACATTTTTTACATGCGTTTTTCTGGATTTTTTTGTTGTTATTCTGTCTCTCACTGTTCAAATAAACCTACCATTAACATTATAGACTGATCATGTCTTTGTCAGTGGCGAAAACGTACAAAATCAGCAGGGGATCAAATACTTTTTTCCCTCACTGTACATATAACTAGGAATAAAGTGACAAGCAAACAGGATAGATAATAAACAGTAGCAGCAGCGTATGTGATGAGTCCAACAAAAAGGTTTGTGCAAAAAGGGTCAATGGAGATAATCAGAGTAGCTATTTGGTTAACTATTTAACTAAATATTTAGCAGTCTTATGGCTCGGGGGTAGAAGCTGTTTAGAGTCCTGTTGGTTCCAGACTTGGTTCATTGGCACCACTTGCCGTGCGGTAGCAGAGAGAACAGTCAATGACTTGGGTGGCTGGAGACTTTGACAATTTGTAGGGCCTTCCTCTGGCACCGCCTGGTATAGAGTTCCTGGATGGCAGGGAGCACGGCCCCAGTGATGTACTAGGCCGTACGCACTACAATCTGTAGCACCTTGTGGTCGGATGCCAAGCAGTTGTAGTCTGCCTATATCAAACTAGGTCTCTCTAGTCATTTTTATATCTCTTCATCCTTCCTCTTTGGGCCCATCAAATCAGCCCATGCTTTACAATACCTAGACGTAATTTAATATTTACAATTCTGATTCTCTCAGAATTTACACTGTATTCTCTCTCAGTATCTTTCTGTCAGTCTACACTAGAGGTCTACCCTACTAAATCTCTCTTGTAATTTCCCCTCTCCTCTTTCTGCCAATTAAGTCATCCCATGCCACAGTACTGTGATATGTTGTAGTTTTACCTAGAAGTCATTTAATCTTTACAACTTCTAGGAAGAGAATGGATCAGAAAAGCTCTCATAGAATTAGATCAGTTGCAAATCACAGTGTGTCTATTCAGCATTCTTGCACATGTTGCATGTGCGTGTGTATATGTGTCTGCGAACGTGAATGTGTGTGTGTCTGCGTTTGTGAGTTTGTGTTTGTGCATGTGTGGTTGACGAGATTAAACTGTGATCTCTCCACACCAACCCCAGGAGCCCAATCTGCACCTCTGTGATGAGCCCCCATGGCTAACATCATCACCCAACTCTCACTGAGGGCAGGGCAGCTATCATCAGACAGCCTTGGCCTCAGTTATAGGTCCTCTCCCATTTACACCAAGTGTCAAACTCATTCCACGGTGGGCCAAGTGTCTGCAGGTTTTCTTTCCACCCTTGTACTTGATTGATGAATTAAGGTCACTAATTAGTAAGGAACTCCCCTCACCTGGTTGTCTAGGTCTTAATTAAAAGGAAAAACCAAAAACATTCAGACACTCTGCCCTCCGTGGAATGAGTTTGACACCCCTGATTTAGACCTTACATATGTTTGAATCTTTCTCCCCACCCTCCTCCATGCCCATGAACTGGTAAATTGTGTGTGTGTGCGCATGTGTGAGCATTTGTGTGTGTCTATGAACTGGTAAATTGCTGTGTATTTTCCACCTGGCTGCATTCCTGTGAGGATGTCCACCCAGAGAGATGTATTGATTTCTCCTCCTCAGAGCTGGCTCCATCTAGGAGCCCCACTTTTTAACTCTACATACTGTATGTGGTTTATGTGCTGTGGCAGAAGGGGATAAACAACAGTAAATAATTATTGACTTTTACTGTTTTGGGGGTATAACCTTTCTGTCTGTACTCTGTGTTCTTAAATGGTGAAATATGGTTTGATAGAAGCTAACCTGTCTATTCTCTCTCTCTCATTCTCTCTCACTCTCATTCTCTCTATCTCTCCCTCCCCTCTCTATCTAGGTCATTATAGGTCATTGGTGCAGCAGACCTGCTAAGGGACCCTGTGTTAACTGACTGTGGACGTATCACTTCCTGCCAGAGATGAGGGGAGCAGCTTGAGTCTGTGACATCAGAGAGAGGGCGAGACCTAGAGACCTGCCTCTGGCTGGACCTCCATATCACATACTGCCCATCCTTATCCCCCTTTCCCCACCCCACCATCTCTGGCATCTGTTTCTGCCACCACCTCCACTCACTTGGAAGGATCTGTGATGACAGTTAACCTCCTCAGCTCTACCTCACTTCCCCTCACCACCACCCCCACCACCCAGGAATAACCAGCCCTAGAACCTCCGTACCCTGAGAGGCACATCCACATCCACTACCACCCTCCCTCACCTCCCCCCAGCTGGCATCATGATGGGAGATGGAGTTGGGAACTGGGAGTGTCTGAGTCCGTCTGAGTTCGGTCAGCTGCAGCAGTACAGCGAATGTGAGTACTAGCAATACCTGTTATACCCATAGGTAAATTGAGCCAAAAGTAACCTGGCAATACCTGTGTCAGACCTGGGTCAAATACTGTACATAAAAATACTGATCTTGATTTAGTTTTCCCTGCACAATAGGATCAATGGAATAGTCCTAAAAGTGCAAACTAAATCAAGCTCATGCATTTGACCCAGGCTGATACCTGTGATACCCTTAGGTAACCAGCCTGAGAGTCAATTGCCAGGTTGTGCAAGGAGTAGGGATGGACATTTGAAATCATTTCAGTTGAATCATCAGTTGAAGTACATGTGTTTGTAAAAAAATACGTTGTTTATACTGGGGCACTTGCTTCCTGTGCAGCCTGCGCGACACGGGGGAGACAGCTTGCTATTGCTACAGCGGGGCAGGGGGAGGGGGAGGCAGAGGGTTAGGCTATTTCTCTGCGCTCCCCGTTCTTGTCTACAACAACTCCATTCAGACTAAACAACAGCCTACCTGTCAGTTGCTCGTTGTAGCCTACTCCTTCTCATTTAGTTAACTTATGTAATTTTAATTCCAATTTGCATTGATTAGAGATCTCCCAGTTCACATTGCTTGCTACACATAGTCTCTGACTGCAGTGCCACTTTGATTGGCCGACAATAACAACAACCTACACGCGTGAAACCTATGTAGGCTGCGCTGTCTTTTTATGGGGCGAATATCATAAAAACTACATTCAAAAGTGTGTTGTTTTATCAAATTAAGAATTTGAAATGTCATGGTATATTCTTGTGTGTAGCAATGTCACATTTGATTGAATTATTTTATATAAAAAAATTTACTCTCGCAAGTAATCGAATACTAACGTCCGTTCGGATATTTGAATATTCTAATAACCGTGTCCTTCCCGAGTAAGGAGGCCAAAGCAATGCACCTCCCCTTTCAAAGCCTCACTTCCTACCCATCATTTGCCTAGGTAGTTTGACATAGGCTATTGTTTTTCTTTGTGCTTGAAGTTAAGTGATTCATGCAAACTTGTATTTTCCCCTCTCCATTGACTATTTCTAGCATTGCACTATTTTGCTTGTTTTTTCCTCTGTTGAGGTGACTCATCCGTATCAGTAGCCTTCCCACCACAGACATTTGTTAGTCAAAAGAGAATCCATCACTAGTCTGGATTTCCCTGTAATAGATGAACATTCATTTTTCACTTCCTTACAGCCTATTGAGCTGATACACAGCCACACAACAACTAAATAGATTGTGGTGTCTGAGAGAAACATAGTTTTACTATCTGAGGATTCCTCTATGCATAGACCTCCCTAAAAACACAATGCTTACATTCCCTGGACATATACAGTACATCTGTTGCCTAGGGATATACTCAAGTGTTGAGTGAGCTTGTCATTGAAACAGAAATTGATTAAACACAAAGTCTAATACATAAACGGTTATGTGTTAGATTACATCACCTCTAGTAAGGACAAATTGTTATTGCCAATCTTTCCCTTGTTCATCGGTGTAATTTATTGACAGCCACGGCTAAAAATACTACTCCTGGCTCTTTCTTTGTCATCCTCTCTATTCAGAAAAATGTGTTTGTGTAGCTGCTTTGAGGGATTTTTGGTTTATTTCATTTTCTGTAATTTGGCTCCATAACATAGCCTATATGGCGGTCCAGATGAGCTGCAGAGATCAGAGGTAAGCGGTACTGTACGCGGCTCCATATGTGGCGCAATGATCTAAGGTACTGCATTGCAGTGCTAGCTGTGCCACTAGAGATCCTGGTTCGAGTCCAGGCTCTGTCGCAGCCGGCCGCGACCGGGAGACCCATGGGCGGCGCACAATTGGTCCAGCTTCGTCCAAGGTAGGGGAGGGTTTGGCCGGCAGGGATGTGGGTTTGTTTCCCACGGGGGGCCAGTATAAAAAATAAAAAAAACATGTATGCATTCACTAACTGTAAGTCGCTCTGGATCAGAGCGTCTGCTAAATGACTAAAATGTAAATGTAAATTTAGCCAAAGGGGTGTCCATGGTGAACAGTCAATCTCTGCAGCCAACTAAACCCCTTAAGTGGTACTGTACACTCCTGCGTTGAAACAGGTGAAAGGTAAATACTCAGTAGGTACATTTGTGTGGATGCTAAACATCACCCAGCATTTATTCACTGGTGTGACCCCCCCCCCCACCGCAGCCCACGCAATGCAGGAGGCCCCATGAGCTCTGCCCCCCCTGTAATCGAACCCACAATTGCTGATGCTCCAGATACTCAACTAGTCTCAAGAAGGCCTCTGAACCTCCCCCTCACTAGGGCTTGTTTATTTTGACGCTGCTGTGCTAATGAGAGGAGGATATTTGACATCTATTTACGCTGGGTTGCTAATGGGCCCTCAGTCACATGTACTGGAGCACCTAGACCCCTGGTGATGGAGATGTGTCTGGGACCTACTATGCTGGTGGTGGGTGGGTGGATGGCAGTGTCTGTGTTTGTGATACTGTACAGCAGATCTGAGTTCAAAAAGTATTTGGTTTTTCTTTCAAATACTTGGAGTGTTTGATTGAGCCTGCCTTGAGTGACCAGGTAGGTGGGATTTGCACTTTTGGGACTATTCCATTGTTTCCATTGCGCCAGACAAGCTCAATCAAGTGCATATTAAGTATTTGAAAGAATACAAGTACTATTTGAACACAGGTCTGGTCTGTTGGATGGGTGTCTGTGTTTGTATTACTATACACATGACGTGTCTGGTGTGTCTGTTTCCAATATGGGTTAATAAAGGAGAGTTATAATGTGTGAGGTGAAAGGTTAGTGTCCATTACAAAGCCATGTGTCAGTTCAATGAGCCCAGCTGCACTACACTGAAAAGCTCGCTTTGTCCCAAATGGCACCCTATTCCCCCACAGGAGTCTAGTCAAAAGTACTGAACTATATTGAGAATAGGGTGCCATTTGAGATGCAACCGCTCTTTTACTCAGTGGTCTGGTCTTATCTTCCCCTTGCTTTACATACGAATTGGCTCAGTGCTGTTATTCTCTTCTATAAAGAATGAATAAAGGAAATGAAGTCGAAGGCAAAGGAATGTTGATGACCTACGATGGTGATTTACTGTTAACCTTCTAGCTATTGGCTGTGATTCTTCAGTCCCCACTGCATTTAGCCTACTGGCTTCTGTTCTGTTCTGCTGTGATTCAATGAGAGTCTGCATTACATTTACATCAAAATGTTGGTCATTCAGTAGATGCTCTTATCCAGAGTTGTAGTGACAACAAACAAAACAAATTAAACTAGCTGCAGCTACAGTCTAGTTAGCTGTCTGATCTGGTTAATCGATGCTGTTATGGTAAATGGACTGGACTTACTGTAGCATGTGTTATCTCAGTTCATGACCTATTGTTAGTTGATTCAGCAAGCATGGGAAACCCTGGCTTAGGGCCCCGCGGCCGACCAACACTTTTTTCGTATACATATTATTTTAAGGTGCAACTTCTACATTTTATTGTGCATTAAGTTTTTCTCCTGTTCTCCAGTCACTCAATTTGCCAATGTCAGCTAAAAACACTTTGATTGGTAAGTTAGTCTAGTCAGCTGGGTCATTCCAACAATTCAGTGCCTTTTGAGGTGTGACTTCGTGGAAAGATTTGAGATCACCTGATTTTAACATTCTGTCATAAAGAGCACATGTTCAACTTAATACAAAACTTGTTCTCCCATCTTACTATAGTAAGTGCCTATTAAGTGCCAAATAAAATAACAGGGTTGACGATTTAATCTTAAATCGGCCATAAATCCCCTTGTGACATGGGAAATGAAAGCTTGTTGTGTGCAACAAGGAGGAGCAATTGAATGCAAGCTTAATTTTTTATTTTTTATTGTTAAAACATTTCTAGCCTGTCTATCTATGTTATGCTCGACTCACTCAGTTTTCCACCACAAAACACCAGAAAATTGCCAAAAAGAGTAGAACCACACTATGATTTGACTATTAGATGTTCAATATTTATTTTTATAAAAATGTTTTATTAATAGTTTCACCTCATTAAAATGAGAGTTCAGTTCACGTAACAGGGTTGACCTTAATGACCTTACATGAAATAAATAATTATCTTCAGAAATGACTTTGTCAAAGCAACAAAATAACTAGGGCTTTACAATGATGGTGAAAACTTGGAGAAATGTTGGGGTTAAGTGGGTTTAAATATTCCTGGAAGTCTCAGAGGGTGCACAGATGAACATGTCAAAATGCTGAATTTGTGCACTTTTGGAAGTCTTTATCATATAAAATAATCTGATTTATTAAATTCTCCATGTGGTCTTTATTCTAATAAAATCAAATGTTATTTGTCATATGCGCCGAATACAACAGGTGTAGACCTTACAGTGAAATGCTTACTTACAAGCAGTTTAAAGAACTATAAGTGTTAAGTAAACAATAGATAAGTAAAAAAATAAAAACAGTAAAAATAACAGTAGCGAGGCTATATACAGGGGGTACCGGTACAGAGTCAATGTGCAGGGGCACTGGTAATTGAGGTAATATGTAGATATAGTTAAAGTGACTATGCATAGATAATAAGCAGAGAGTAGCAGCAGCGTAAAAGAGGGGGTGCGGGGTGGGTGCAATGCAAATAGTCCGGGTAGCCATTTCATTAGCTGTTCAGGAGTCTTATTTACATTTTAGTCATTTAGCAGACGCTCTTATCCAGAGCGACTTACAGTTAGTGAGTGCATACATTTTTTTTTTTTTTTCATACTGGCCCCCCGTGGGAATCGAACCCACAACCCTGGCGTTGCAAACGCCATACTCTACCAACTGAGCTACATCCCTGCTGGCCATTCCCTCCCCTACCCTGGACGACGCTGGGCCAATTGTGCGCCGCCCCATGGGTCTCCCGGTCACGGCCAGCTACGACAGAGCCTGGATTCGAACCAGGATCTCTAGTGGCACAGCTAGCACTGCGATGCAGTGCCTTAGACCACTGCACCACTCGGGAGAATATGGCTTGGGGGTAGAAGCTGTTAAGAAGCCTTTTGGACCTAGACTTGGCACTCCGGTACTGCTTGCCGTGCGGTAGCAGAGAGAACAGTCTATGACTACGGTGGCTGGAGTCTTTGACAATTTTTAGGGCCTTCCACTGACACCGCCTGGTATAGAGTTCATGGATGGCAGGAAGCTTGGCCACAGTGATGTACTGGGCCATAAGCACTACCCTCTGTAGTGCCTTGCGGTCGGAGGCCGAGCAGTTGCCATACCAGGCAGTGATGCAACCAGTCAGGATGCTCTCGATGGTGCAGCTGTATAACTTTTTGAGGATCTGAGGACCCATGCCAAATCTTTTCAGTCTCCTGGTGGGGGAATAGGCTTTGTCGTGCCCTCTTCACGACTGTCTTGGTGAATAGCCCTCTTAAAGGTAATTTCATTGAATTGGCGGGCTTTTAAAATTCAATATTTGATGCACAATTTTACAATATTTAAAATATCAAAGGGACACAAAAGGCATTCATTTTGTGGAACGACCCAGCAATTTAAACTTGTAGTAATCATGGTTGAATTACCGACCAGGCACGCAGGGCACGTGCCCAGGGGCCCTGACCTCCAGGGGGCCCCCATTGATTTAGTTAATCACTCTCACTCAGATATATTACCATTGCATAAGTCATGGCAAAATGTGTATAATTGCAGGAAATAAGCTTGAAAACTGCAAAAATGTATCTCAACCCCATGGCAAAATGAATAGAATTGCATGAAATTAGTTATAATATTACCAATCTTCTCTCCTTCCCATAGCAGAATGTGTAGAACTGCAGGAAATTCACTCAAAAAATTTAACTTAGTGCTAACAAAAGGGTAGGGCCGGCTCTGGTCTTCTCAGTAAGGCGTCAACATGCTTCCCATCCAAAACAGTTTGGAACAGTTCGTACACATATTATGACGACATTTTGTGACGTTTTTGTTCATTTTGGTCTTCGGCAAGGGTTTTTTCGGTTGTTCGTGCACCCAAAAAAATTTCTCAAGACAAGCTGAAGTTCAGTAGCCGAAGTCTACACCCCTTCGTCGGTGATTGGTCAACTGTAGGGGTGACTTGAGTTTCTTCTTCTCCCGAAACTCAGTGTGGATTCAACATGGCAAACAACAACAACGATAACTTCGAGCATCGCTTGGCCGAGGAGATAAAGAAGTGAGCAAGACAGAAAGCAACATGCCGTCCTCACCAGAGGAAGAGGTATGTTGTAGTATTTTCTATTGTAGTCGAGGAAAAGAGTAGCAATGTTTGCTAACAATAGCTAGCCAGCTGGCGCTAGCTACTTGGCTGGCTAGCTAGCCTAGCAGCATATTCTAAAGGTATTTACAACTTTTTGATCAAACACAATTCTGTCAGAGAAAGAAAAGCATAAGCTTCCCACATTAGTAACACTGAAGTCAAAGTTCGGTAGCAAGGTTCAGCTAGCTAAAATGTTGCAAAAGTTTAAGCAGTGTTGAGTAGCTAGGCCAGGCCTATTCAACCCTGCTCAAACGTTTGCATCTTTATAGTCTGGCTCGGTTAATTATATTTGATATGTTTTTCATTGATAGTTTAGGATGGTTTGGATATGTGTCCTAAATAACCCTCTGATTTCTTTTTTTCCAGGCACAAACACCAGTGAATGGAGAACGCACCAGGTTTTGTTCTCTGCACCCAAGCACTGGCTGTTCACTGGCCCTCTGCACTGACTGGTCATCGGCCCCCAGCCCATCTCCCACACTGAGCTGCAGTGCAGAATGGGAAACCATCTCCATGCAGGACCTGGGAAGCTCTATTCTGGGCCCACCTCCAAGACCCACTCCACTGGCTTGGTCCTCACCAATGCCGCAGAGGAGCAGCAGTAGTAGCAGGGGTGTGAAAAGAAGGGAGAAAAGAGCTGCAGACTAGCCCTTGACACATCTCTCACAAAGGCATTGCAAATGATTGAAGACAGATCTCAAGGTCTGGAGAACGTCATGCACCAAGCCACCAGACTCTCCTCCTTTACTCTGATCCCCTTTTCTCTCTTCTGTTGTCCTCTTTCCTCCTCTCCTCACTATGCACACTGCTCTCCACTCCTCTCATTTCCCCCCTCTTCTCATCCTCTACACAGGGCCCTGGCACCTATAGCTGATTTCATGGATGAACTATCACCAAAACTCCGGGAGGAATTCGATCACCAGCTGCATGAGTTTGTGCATGACTTCAAGAAGGGGACCCAACGACTGGGACCACAGTGAAATTAACAACTTGTTCTGATGTTGTCTCAGGAATCAGACACTAGACACTTTCATTTTATTATTATTATTAACACTTTTGTTGTTTACATGTCTGTTTTTCACAGACAGATTTGTACTATTGTACAAATAATTGCAATTATTGTCTGACTTTAATTATAGTATATTTCATTGACACGTGTTGTTTACATGTCTGTTCTTAGCAGAGACTTTTGTATTGTGGTTTACTTTGAGCCCATATGCATAATAAAGGTTTATTTTTGTGTGCTAAAAAGCTCTGTTTCTTCATCTCAATACAAGATGTTTCAATGCATTCTATTTGAACATCCAGTGCTGACAACGTTGAGAAGAGCTGTGTGCCACAGACATTACAGGATTTGTTCTACTTGTGGTGTAGTTACCATGTCTTCCTGCCATGGCACACGTCCAGATGGGGAGAGGAAGAAGTCCCTGAGCTTGTTTCTTGTTTCACTTACAAGCCGTGTCACCCTGGCACAAAATAGTCTCCTGGGCTCTTGGAGATTGTTGTCCCCTGCCACAATCAGTTTTCCACTCTCCAGGTTGGCAGTTGCCAGAAGGGAGGGGCGTGTCAACAAAAGCGGGAGGCATGTATCGCGAACCGAACGAGTGTGCTCACATACTCCCTTAAAAGACCTTGGAAAACGAGAAAGAAGCAGAAATAGTACTGTTTGTCCATCTTGAGATGCCGTAACCAGTATACACCTCCTCAAAATAGTCAGAATTAATCTAAGATAACTCAAGAAATCTGTCATTTAATTTTGACTTTTTTGTCAAGGAGCAATTTTACAATGAACTAATAAGATGTTTGGTGCAATATTTCAAGTCAAAACATTTGCATGTAAACGATTCGTCTGTCGTTGAACACTTCACTGAAGAATCCCTACTGTTGGCCAATCACCGATGAAGGGGTGTAGACTTCGGCTTGCCTCGAGAAAAACGAACAAAAAAACCTTCACAAAATGTCGTCATAATATATGCAACTACGGGTACTTCCATGTCTTCAGGGTCAATTTTTAGAATTTTATTTAAAAAATAATAATCTTTATGTTAAGTTCACACTACAATCACCTCTGATATTTTTTAACACCTCTCTATCAAGTATTTTAGCTACTTTTCAGATGCATTTTATACCTCAATTTCACAGTTTTGCCCTTGTCCCTGACCCAGGCTTTTGAGCTTCTACTATGTTTTTCTATGAGAGAACATTAATAATTACACATTATATAATGTTATCTACTAGAGAAAGAGTCAATTAAATAAAATCTATATCAATATTTATTGTGAGTATGCCCTTTATATTGTAATTTACACAAAAAATACCTGTCCTTTTGGTTGTGGTGTCATTTCCACCACTGAGGGCAAATTCCTCATTAATAAAGTTTTGTCAAGAGACTTAACTTAGTTACCATGGAAATGTATTGCGACACTGAAGCACATGGCTACAGCAGACAGTTGTTCCAGATGTGATGTCCAGAAGTTGAAGAAAAATCTAGGTAAATATTGCTTGTGTAGAGAATATTTTTATCGTCAGTAATTTCCAAACAGGCTATAATTTCTTTACCTTGTGGTAGAAGTTTGAAAAAAAATGTATAATTTTATGTATTTAGTGTAAACTATATACAAGCTATAATACTAGCCAAAGCATGCTAAGCAGTCTCATTTTTCTCCAAAAACAATAGAAGCGTCATTTCCATCAGTCATTTCCATCACAAATTTAACTGTGGTGGAAATGACAGAATGTGGTGGAAATGACAAAAATCCATTATGTTATTACTTTTTAAACTTTTTAAACTTTAGGCTTATTTAATCATGTTTTACATTTATTTAATCTAGAAAATACTCCAAGGTGTGCACAAGTTGAAAACTTAAGTAGCACTTTTCTTTGTGCTGTTTTATTTGGTATCTTCTAAAAACAGAGGTCACAGACATAGAAACAAAATAAAACATGTTCCTATACGATACCAGGAACATCTGCAAAAAGACGGAGAGATACTGGAAGAAAAAAGAGAAGGGAGAAGTGAAATCTATCTCTGAGCTTACAAAGCGAGAACAAAGAAGCAAGAGAAGACAATGGAAATGCAACCAACGGAATAGAAGACATACTTTAAAGAGAACAGTTGCAATGGAGACCTACCTATCAGGCAACACACCACCTTAGTCACCAGATGACTTGCAGCCAGAACATGAGGCCAACATACCTGCCCCTGATGCACGCTCTGATACCCCTTCCTCATCTGCAACAGGTATGAGAAGTCGAATACTTGCTGGAAGGAAAAAGGTTGGAAGAGGTTGCTCAAAAACATACAGAGATCTTTGCATGACAAAATGTCAAACTTGATAAAGCTTTACGGAAAGCTGAGAAATACTAAAAAAAAGGTATGATCAACTGAAGAAGAAAATGGAGAGATTCCCCAAAGACAAACACAAAACAGCAAATGAAGGGAACTCCGAAGAACTTGAAGGATTTTATTGTTTCAAAATACCATCATTGCAGAGTTAAAGCAAAAGTATCAAAAAATGCGCAGTGCCAAGGACAAACAAGTGGCTTCAAAAATGCTCAGAGGCAACATCCTGAGAAAGTATGGCCTGGTCAAAGGGCAAATGAAAACAGGCTAACAAGTCTTCAATACTCCAGGAAAAAGCAGTGTAACATAATTAGCACAGCCACAGAAGAGAAAATCACTACATTCTATGAACGTGATGTGAACAGTAGAGCAACAACAGGGAAAAAGGACACACTAACGAGAAACAAGAAAAAAAAGCAGAAGCACTTCTTGAATGGCACAATTCAGAACCTTTAACGGAATTTTAAGAGGGAATATTCAGAGATTAAAATGTCCTACTATGAATTCTGCAAAAGACATCCTTCCAGGATAGGGACACATGCCTCTGCAAAACCCATGCCAACCTCCAGATCATGGCGGACAAACTACAGTATCACAAAGTGATCAGCTGCAGGAACATTGAGAACCTTATTGAGCCTTTGCTGTGAGAACCTGAAGAAAGAGTGCATGTACACAGAGTGCTCCCTTTGCCAAGCAAAATAGCTTAAAACATCTGACTTTGATGCTGGTGAGCAGACATGGTGGTTTGAGTGGAAAAACAAAGCTGAAGAGAGAGAGAGAAGAAAAACAGAGGGAAACATGGAGAAGTTCACTGTACATTTGACAGTAAAAGAAAAGGTGTGTCGCACACTGCAGATTCTACTGGAGGACTTATCCAAAGGATTGAAAGAGAAGTTGGGGAAACACGTCTACAACATTCGACACCAATACTCCAAACTGAAAGAATTAAAAGAGTATCTGCGGAAAGAGGAGATCATCGTGCATATTGACTTTGCAGAGAACTATCTGTGTAAATACACCAGTGAAATTCAGGCAGTTCACTTTGGTGATTCTCACAAGCAGGTGACCCTCCACACCGGTGCTGGATATACCACAACATTTAATGATAAAGTTTCACTTTGCTCACTGAGCTCTGCAATCTGGGCCCATCTCTCAAAAACATTGGCCTACTTCCTTGAGCTCTGCCCATCGGCTACTTTTGGAATCTTACTTTGTCTTAAATTAATTAAATGTTTAACAATGGTTGTTTGCAATAAAATATTGTTTTCATACATTTTTTCACATAAATGTAATTTCCACCACACCTTGTCATTTCCACCACATCCATATTTTTTTAGGTAAATTAGTATATTATGTATAATTTACATTGATTGTTTTAGATAGGGAAATCATATGGTTGTTATCATAATCTCACAAGAAGGTTGGGTGGAAATATCTTATTTTTTATGATAAATCAATGTTTTCAGCTGTCACAAAGGCAAGTTTATACATTCAGGTGTTGTGTTGAATTATTAATATTAGGAAAACCTTAATCACTTAAAATAATATGCAATACAAGTTAATGTACAAATGTATAAGAAATGTGTTATAAATTAATTGTATGATATTTCATTTTCAACTAAAAAGTAAGTTTAATGATGGGATGGAAATTAAATTTGTCTATGGCTGTCTGAGAAAAATGACAAAAATATATACATTCCTGAATAGTACGATCGCAGCCATTATCAGATATTATTTCTAGACAAATCCAAGACAATTATAATACTGGTAAAATGGTGTTTCAATAAATTTTAATTTCTGAAAGCTTGCAGGGCCAAAGTTTGCGAAGTTGCAGAATCACCCATGCGCAAACTGTTCTGAACCTATTCGGATAGGAAGCATGCGGACGCCGTTAAGTGAACTCACCTGGTTAGATAAGGGTTAACACTGCATTCCCTGCATCCCTGCCTTGCCTCAGTATGACACCTCCTGTAGCCTCTTTAATCCCAGGGAGAGATTAGCATCTCTGGGTGTAAAACACTATTGCCCATGGCCTGGAGGAAGTGTGAGGCCCAACTCCAGAGATGATTCCGTATATTTTAAGGTATTTTGCACTAGAGAGAGGAGAGAGAGTGGAGTGATTATCCAACCTATTATATTTCTATGGTCTATATTTATTGAATCTGAGTGTGACGAGGTGTGAAAGAAGGAGTCAGGCGCAGTCCAGAGTTTAATCCGTTTGCATAAATCAAACGCCCAAAGCGTCAAACGAAACTGTACAAGGGAAAACATCCACCTTGGCAATAACACCGAGAAATGTAGCTCAACCGAGGTACACGCTCTCACAACAAAACAATCACTCACAAAGACAAGGGGAACAGAGGGAACACTTATACACATACTAATTAGGGGAATGAGCACCAGGTGTGTGTGATTGACAAGACATGACAAGTGGAGTGATGAGAATGGGATCGGCAGTAGCTAGTACTCCGGTGACGACGAACGCCGAAGCCTGCCCAAACCAGGAGGGGGGGCAGCCTCGGCGGAAGTCGTGGCACTGAGATTATTTAATATGCTATTTATTGTATTCGAAAGAGGAGAGAGAATGGGGTGTCCAGTCTAACTCCACAGAGATTATTCATTCAGATAATGTTTGAGGGGTTTTTCTATTCCAAACAAATTTCCTGGCTTAATTAGTCTATTTGTTTAAATAATTAGCTAAACTTATTTTCACCTCTGTGAAATGTTTGCCTCATGATCTAACCAGATGGTCCTCTCAGATACAGCTTGAGCCCAAAAGACAATCAGCACATCCAGCAGCACTTTACCTCTAAATAATACGCCTGGTGCCAAAATGACTAAATGATGAGGTTTATAAAGCCTCTCTCATCCCTGTCTCTTTCTCAGATTCCACCAAGAAGCTCAAGGATGTTCTGGAGGAGTTTCACGGTGAAGGAGTCCTCTCCAAGTACAATCCTGAGCAGGTACAGTACGTCACTGCCTCAACCCTTCCCTCCCTTACACCGCTCCTCTCTTCTCCTTTCTCCTCCATTTCCTTCCTCTCCTCTCCCTTCCTCTCCTCCCTGTCCTTATCCTCTCCTCCCCTCCTCTCTTTTCCTCCCCTACCCTTCCTGAGTGAGATCATCATTATTTATGTTGTTAAGACCCTGGCAATCCCCTGACTCAGTCTCTGCTCCATCACTGATATGCTTAGTCATCCGCTTCGTTTAGACGGTAGTAAGGTGAGCAACACTTTCTCCCTCCCTCGCCCTCACCATCAACATCCGTCTGACGCCCTTTAACCTCGACGTGATGACAGAGGGCCGACAAGTTATGTCACCATGGTGACGAGGACAGGTGGCTGACATTTTATTATGGTCTGTCTGAATGGGTCAGCGCTCCACCCCCCCTCCCCCTCCTCCTCTCCCGGCCCAAGTGCACCCCCTCTTCCTCCTTATAACTGCAGCATTGTGATATGAGTAACAGCCTCACAGCGGCTGGTTGGCGCCATCAGAGCCCTGTTGGATTCAGACATCATGTGGCCTGTGGTGTGATCACCAAAGCCAGCAAGTGCAGGCGCCGAGCTGGTGGTATTTTCTGCACTGTGTGGCAAGGAGCGAGGTGACTTTACCCACTGGGCACAAACTGGTTGAATCAATGTTGTTTCAAAATAATTTGTTAACGTATTGTGACATGGAATCTACGTGGAAAATATATTGGATTTGAAAAAAGTAATCAACATAAACTTTTGTTTTGAGGGTAAGATTTCAGCCACAGGATTATGTCATCATGGTAACCACTTTTTAACATAGACAAACCTTGTACAAAATATGTTGAATTTATACCTTTGAAACAACGTCAAATTTTCAACATAATATCCACTATAAGAAAAAAAACTATAGGCAGGGCAGCACTTCCTGCTGGGGAGTTGATCTATCTACAGCTATTAATTCAGTCTACCATTCAGGGTTTTACCCAAGCACAGCCCTGCTTAGCTTTTATATTTGTCATTGACTACTACCAATGTGCTATTGTGAGAATGATTGTCGAGAAATCTCCACTTAATAGATTCACTGTTGCTATCGAAGTAGGTTCAACAAAGCAAATGAAATGTAACCATACTTTAGCAATCCTATATAATCAATGATGCTATATAGGCCTATATAGCATTTGTGAAGTCATCAACAGCTATTGTTTAAATTCAGCCCAGGATTCAACAAAAAATAGACAATACATATAGGACTAGAGTTTAAAGCTTTGGTTGATTTTTAAATGGAATCTACAAGTTAATAATAAATATGTTGGATTCACGTCTCCATCTAAACCAAAAATAAAAGTTGAAGAACAGGATTAAATCAAATCAAACTGTATTTAAAGTGCATTTAAAGTTTGATTTTATTTAGTCCTATTCGTTACCAAGCAGAAGATATATCTCCTTCAAAAGTTGATATTTGGTTGCATTGACAACCAAACACAATTCAATATCACTTTTGCAATACGGTAAATAGCCTATTAACTTGTCCACAAGTTAACAAATGATATGTTGGATTCACGTCTCCATCTCAACCAAAACTAAAAGTTAAAGAATAGGATTAAGCCAGTGGCTCAGATGGAAATATCCAAGCAGTTGATACATCTCCTTTACAGTGCATTCAGAAAGTATTCAGACCCCTGGACTTTTTCCACATTTTGTTACGTTACAGACTTATTCTAAAATTGATTTAATAGTTTTTTCCCTCATCATTACACACAATACCCCATAATGACAAAGCAAAAACAGATTTTTAGACATTTTTTAAAATCTATTAAAAATGGAAATATCACATTTCCATAAGTTGGCAGCGATTATAGCCTCGAATGACGCTACAAGCTTGGCACACCTGTATTTAGGGATTTTCTCCCATCCATCTCTGCAGATCCTCTCAAGCTCTGTCAGGTTGGATGAGGAGCGTCGCTGCACAGCTATTTTCAGGTCTCTCCAGAGATGTTAGATCGGGTTCAAGTCCGGGCTCTGGCTGGGCCACTCAAGGACATTCAGAGACTTGTCCCGAAGCCACTCCTGCGTTGTCTTGGCTGTGTGCTTAGGGTCGTTGTCCTGTTGGAAGGTGAACCTTTGACCTAGTCTGAGGTCCTGAGCGCTCTGGAGCAGGTTTTCATCAAGGATCTCCGTTCATCTTTCCCTCGATCCTGACTAGTCTCCCAGTCCCTGCCGCTGAAAAACATTCCCACAGCATGATGCTGCCACCACCATGCTTCACCTTAGGGATGGTGCCAGATTTCCTCCAGGTGTAACACTTGGCATTCAAGCCAAAGAGTTCAATCTTGGTTTCATCAGACCAGATAATCTTATTTCTCATGGTCTGAGAGTCCTTTAGGTGTATTTTGGCAAACTCCAAGCAGGCTGTCATGTGCCTTTTACTGAGGAGAGGCTTCCGTCTGGCCACTCTGCCATAAAGGCCTGATTGGTGGAGTGCTGCAGAGATGGTTGTCCTTCTGGAAGGTTCTCCCATCTCCACAGAGGAACTTTGGAGCTCTGTCACAGAGTGACCATGAGCTTCTTGGTCACCTCCCTGACCAAGGCCCTTGTCCCCCGATTGCTCAGTTTGGCCGGGCAGGCAGCTCTTGGTGGTTTAAATCTTCTTCCATTTAAGAATGATGGAGGCCACTGTGTTCTTGGGGACCTTCAATGCTACATACATTTTTGGTACCCTTCCCCAGATCTGTGCCTCAACACAATCCTGTCTTGGAGCTCTACGGACAATTAATTCGACCTCATGGCTTAGTTTTTGCTCTGACATGCACTGTCAACTGTGGGACCTTATATAGACAGGTGTGTGCCTTTCCAAATCATGTCCAATCAATTTAATTTACCACAGGTGGACTCCAATCAAGTTGTAGAAACATCTCAAGGGTGATCAATGGAAACAGAATGCACCTGAGCTCAAATTCGAGTCTCATAGCAAAGGGTCTGAATACTTATGTAAATGTTAACGTACTTCTGTTTATTATTTTTAATAAATGTGCCTCAAAAATGTTAACCTGTTTTCACTTTGTCATTTTGAGGTATTGTGTGTAGATTGATGAGGGGAAAAAAATAATTTTATTAGTTTTAAAATAAGGCTGTAACGTAACAAAATGTGGAAAAAGTCAAGGGGTCTGAATACGTCCCGAATGCACAGTAAATTATGATTTTTGGTTGAGTTGTCAACCAAACACAATTCAATATTACTTTTGTAAGACAGTAAATAGCCTAATGTTAAGGCTATCTTACAAACTACTGTAACAGTATTTACTCAAACTTAAAATGAGTAACACATCCATGGCCACATTTTGAGGTTACTGTAACAATAAATGTCTTATGTAATCATAGAAAGCGTGCATGTTCAGGGTCGCAGGTCTGTGGAGATCTTCACAATTGCTGTAATAATCTGCACAGAATCTCAAACGGCATTGATCAAACGGCATTAATGTAATCTCAACTAACTGCAATCCAGGTCATTTGGTTATGCTATTAGATCAAGCACAGTGATAACACATGAAGTTGCTGTATAAATAAACAAAATATCTGACATTGTGTTCCCATTTTAACTTTGGTGTGCTTTTAAATGGTTGAAAGTGCAGTGCTTACAAATTTAGGTGAGAACTAAACCAAAAATCAGACATTTATTTTCCATTGGAATTTGGTTGTGCTTTTAGACAGTTGAAAGCTTAGTGATAACATATTGGGAATTCAACAAACTTTTGGCTGTCTTTTTGAGTGGGTGAAAATAGGTTGGAATCTCATTGATAAAATGTATGCACGCATGACTGTAAGTCGCTTTGGAAAAAAGCGTCTGCTAAATGGCATATTATTAATATTTATTATTATCAATGTATCTACCAAATATTACCCAATTCTCCACATTGAAATGACATGGTGTGCCCAGTGGGTTGTGCTCGTGTCATCAATTAGTCGTGCTCTTGGTGACTCATCAATCCTCGCCTGTCCTGGAAGCTGCCCTAAACGCCAGTGACACACCATCAGTGGCCTCACCTCCCCCTACCTCTGACCGCCTCATACTGTATTTCTCTATGATTGATGAGCGATAAGGCGGACAGGGGACTGTAAATGAAAGGGTGGAGGGGTTTCCACACACACATACACACACACAAACACACAGACACACACACATCCCACAGCAGGCACTGAAGCAGGTAACGTCAATCAGATGGAGTCTAATTTATGACTGGGTCATTCAGTTGAGCTCATCTGGCTGTGAGACTGTCATCCCTGAGGATCTATGTCACTTTAGTGACCGAGGACCCGAGGAGTAACAAGAACAAGTGTTACGTTAATATGTATTGAGAGAACAGGCAGGGTTGAGAGCCAGGGTTTGCTGTGCTGCCGTGGTGTGGTGGTTTGACTTGTGCTCTGGTGACAGGTCTATACTGGAGTTTTTTATGCAACATTCTGCAGTTTTTACTTCTTTCTCATGGCTTTCTTGGCTCAGATAGTATGGCGTCTCCTTCTTATCCTTACCCTTTACCCCTATCATAACGTCTCTCTGTCAAGACTGCATGTGCCCTCCCATTTTAACCATAAATATATCCGAAGGGCGAGTATGATGCCACACCTAGCTCGCGTGGGCACATTTTCTTTTACCCTGTTGTTGTGTTGGCATGGGTTCCAGAATGGATTTGATTGATTTCTCGAGGCCATCAATGCTAACAGGGAGATGGAGACAGCTTGATGGAGACCTTCCAGAAATGCCTATCAAATCCATCTGGGTGCTCTTATTGCAGACAAGCATGTCTGTCTCACGATATATGACCTTATGGCTCTATCTTATTAGTTTTATCGATATGTTTTTGGAATGTGTGTGCATGTTTGTGTGTGCTTTTTTCTCAATCTGCTGTTACATGATGCAAAGTAAAGTTTTTCATGGTTCGGGCTAGGCCCCTTAGCTCCAGTGAAGGGAAATCTTAACACTATACAGCATACAATTACATTCTAGACGATTCTGTGCTTCCAACTTTGTGGCAACAGTTTGGGGAAGGCCCTTTCCTGTTTCAGCATGACAATGCCCCCGTGCACAAAGCGAGGTCATTACAGAAATGGTTTGTCTAGATCGGTGTGGAAGAACTTGACTGGCCTGCAGAGAGCCCTGACCTCAACCCTATTGAAAACCTTTGGGATGAATTGGAACGCCGACTGTGAGCCAGGCCTAATCGCCCAACATCAGTGCCCGACCTCACTAGTGCTCTTGTGGCTGAATGGTAACAAGTGCCCATTCCAACATCTAGTGGAAAGCCTTCACAGAAGAGTGGAGGCTGTTATAGCAGCAAAGGGGGGACCAACTCCATATTAATGCCCATGATTTTGGAATGAGATGTTCGACAAGCAGGTGTCCACATACTGTTGGTAATGTAGTGTATCTAAAAGGCTTGATTCTGTAGACATACTGTACTTGAGGCACTGTTCAGATAGGAGAGAAAGGCCAGTGCCAGTTGCACACTGCAACATCACCCATTTTGAAACTATTTAAACAAACTTAATTGTTTAAAACCTGGACAATTTCTTGTCATTTTATGAGGTATGTCTTACCTTGTTCCAACCATAGGAATGTTAAGGGGATTATTTTATAAACACTTCTTCATATGCCATTGAAACCAGTATTTATCTTATGTTCTGAACTTTCTTTCGTTGTCCAGCAGCCAAAGACATACTCCTAGTCATATTAATAACCCATGCTTGTTGTTGCGTCTTTAGAGCTTCCCTCTTTCTAAATTTCTGAAGGATATTTTCATCTCTGTCATTATGAAACCGCTCACATTTGCGGTACACCTTTGAGAACAGTGTTTTCCCACTAATTGCATTTTGGAACATTCGTTATTATAGCCTACTGCCGTTGCACATTGCTGCACTTCTAATGTGAAGAAATAGCCTAATAGTTTATCAACATTTAAGCTAAACGTTCTGATCTGTTGCATCAGCCTCATTGGTTTTAAACTGTTGTTTTTATGTACAGGGACTGTATTAATTTGGGATCTATCGCATCCCACAACTGTCCCAGAGTATGTTTGGAATATTTAATTTAATAGAATAGGTCAACTTTTGTACTATTGGGGATAGTAGATTGAGATAGGCTAGTGCTTTTGCTGTTTGTTACTCATCTTGTTGGTTGACGAAAAGTAAATGTGGACAGTTCTTCTAACATCTTCAATATGCTCCTCGGAATTCGTTAAGAAGGACATCAGCCATGTGAGTGATAGGTGCTTCGGATCACGGCGATTGGCAGCCAGGAGAAGGGAATTATAATTATTAAATTTAGGCCGTAAGGCATAAAAAAATTTGCGGCCATTACGGCCACACAAGGGTGCCCCCAGGAAATTTGAGGCCTGGTCTTATGACTTTGGGGTTAGAAGCTGTTCTCGGTCTCATCGTCGTCTGTGATCAGGCCTACCACCGTCATGTCGTCAGCAAACTTAATGATGGTGTTGGAGTCGTGCGCAGCCACTATATAAGCAGTGGGACGGATGCTGCCGTGGCGAATATACAGTGGGGAAAAAAAGTATTTAGTCAGCCACCAATTGTGCAAGTTCTCCCACTTAAAAAGATGAGCGAGGCCTGTAATTTTCATCATAGGTACACGTCAACTATGACAGACAAAAAAAAATCCAGAAAATCACATTGTAGGATTTTTAATGAATTTATTTGCAAATTATGGTGGAAAATAAGTATTTGGTCAATAACAAAAGTTTCTCAATACTTTGTTATATACCCTTTGTTGGCAATGACACAGGTCAAACGTTTTCTGTAAATCTTCACAAGGTTTTCACACACTGTTGCTGGTATTTTGGCCCATTCCTCCATGCAGATCTCCTCTAGAGCAGTGATGTTTTGGGGCTGTCGCTGGGCAACACGGACTTTCAACTCCCTCCAAAGATTTTCTATGGGGTTGAGATCTGGAGACTGGCTAGGCCACTCCAGGACCTTGAAATGCTTCTTACGAAGCCACTCCTTCGTTGCCCGGGCGGTGTGTTTGGGATCATTGTCATGCTGAAAGACCCAGCCACGTTTCATCTTCAATGCCCTTGCTGATGGAAGGAGGTTTTCACTCAAAATCTCACGATACATGGCCCCATTCATTCTTTCCTTTACACGGATCAGTCGTCCTGGTCGCTTTGCAGAAAAACAGCCCTAAAGCATGATGTTTCCACCCCCATGCTTCACAGTAGGTATGGTGTTCTTTGGATGCAACTCAGCATTCTTTGTCCTCCAAACACGACGAGTTGAGTTTTTACCAAAAAGTTATATTTTGGTTTCATCTGACCATATGACATTCTCCCAATCCTCTTCTGGATCATCCAAATGCACTCTAGCAAACTTCAGACGGGCCTGGACATGTACTGGCTTAAGCAGGGGGACATGTCTGGCACTGCAGGATTTGAGTCCCTGGCGGCGTAGTGTGTTACTGATGGTAGGCTTTGTTACTTTGGTCCCAGCTCTCTGCAGGTCATTCACTAGGTCCCCCCGTGTGGTTCTGGGATTTTTGGTCACCGTTCTTGTGATCATTTTGACCCCACGGGGTGAGATCTTGCGTGGAGCCCCAGATCGAGGGAGATTATCAGTGGTCTTGTATGTCTTCCATTTCCTAATAATTGCTCCCACATTTGATTTCTTCAAACCAAGCTGCTTACCTATTGCAGATTCAGTCTTCCCAGCCTGGTGCAGGCCTACAATTTTGTTTCTGGTGTCCTTTGACAGCTCTTTGTTCTTGGCCACAGTGGAGTTTGGAGTGTGACTGTTTGAGGTTGTGGACAGGTGTCTTTTATACTGATAACAAGTTCAAACAGGTGCCATTAATACAGGTAACGAGTGGAGGACAGAGGAGCCCCTTAAAGAAGAAATTACAGGTCTGTGAGAGTCAGAAATCTTGCTTGTTTGTAGGTGACCAAATACTTATTTTCCACCATAATTTGCAAATAAATTCATTAAAAATCCTACAATGTGATTTTCTGGATTTTTTTTCTCAATTTGTCTGTCATAGTTGACGTGTACCTATGATGAAAATTACAGGCCTCGCTCATCTTTTTAAGTGGGAGAACATGCACAATTGGTGGCTGACTGAATACTTTTTTTCCCCACTGTATACAGTGCATATACAGTGTTTTGTGGAGGTGTACATAGTGAAAGGTATTACACTGGTACTGGCATACTGTAGGTAGTACACTGATACAAAGGGTTGATAGTTAACCTGAATAGATGCATTATGTCCCACAAACTTGCCATTGGCACAGCATAGCTTGTTTGACGTTTGTGTCTTGAAAGATGAATGCATAGCACATACAAGTTTTAATTAATTTTATACATTTTTGGTGTTAACTATGGCGGATATTGTCAGTAAAAAGTCCAAAGATTGGATGTTTGCACGCATGTGTGTGTGTGTTAAGGGAATGAGGACTAGCTTCCAAAAGAGCCGCGGGGCAGTAAGAGTGGTGTGGCCTCACCCCTGGCTAACCCTAACTCTAACTGCTTCCACACCCTTTACTACTGCTGCCAGACCGCTATAAAGTAACCCCATGTCTCCTTCTTACCTCTCCCTGTTCCCTCTGTCAAACAGAAGCAAGACGTTCTCAACCAAGTAAGCCACACCCGCTGCTGGGGGTCTGCATGATCTGTGGTTTCTGAGTATACAGACTGCATGTAACATGTAACATACTTAACCCTATATCATCAGAGGCACCAAGGCAAAGGTCAAAGGTTAGGGGTCAGAAACCTGTGGTTTCATTGTCTAACACTACAGAATGCATGTAATATACAGTACATAACCCTATCCCATCAGACACCTATAGCATGATGTACTACATTACCCATAATGCTCTCACCCAGAGGTCAAATGGGTCAGGTGCAGTGCTTCAGTCTGCCAGCTATGTGTCTTTGTGACGCTCAACTTACCAACATGTAACAACAGTGTTTCCATAACGGAGGAATGTTGATGTGCCGTTTTTTCTCTTTCTTTTTCATTTGTTTTTCAACCGCAAGGCTAATGGCACTGATCACTGTGTGAATGCCAGTTCAGACAACCTCATGCTGTTTCTGTAAAGGTATCTGCCCTGAGTAATCTCTGTCAATTATTTTACTGTGTCTGCCTGCTGATAAAGTGACTCAGGATTGTTTCTGTGTACTGTCTGTATGCCTTTTACATTTTTAAAGTTTATACTAATATTACACTTTTAAAGGCTGGCTAAAACCACAGCCAGCGCACCATCCTGTCTGAAATCCATGAAACCAACTGATTTATGTTTTCTCCAAATTGGCCATTTCCAGTCTCCTCTCAGCCGTAAAGCTTTTTTCCAAAAAGGCCAAAAGCGATAAGTGTTTTCATCATGCTCTGTGTGTTGTAGAGAGATGATTGAATATGACATACTCATCTAAAATGTAATACTGCAGACCATCAATAAAACTTTCAGCATTGCAATACAGGCAAACAACTTTTCTAAAGGTTTCATTCCTTTTACATACTGAAACAGATTTCTAGCCCCATGCCTCTATTATTTCTACTGCAGAAGTATGTGGTTTACTTTACAGGTATTGCCTTCCCACATAAACAAATGAGGGACCAGGAGGCAAAAAAGTATGGTGATAGTGTCTTTTACTCCATGTCACCATTGTGTACTTTTTTGCTGCCCAGACTCTGTTGTTTACAATATTTATATCCAAGGTATCTGACTCTTCTTTTTCCTCTATCTCTCTATCTCTCCATCAATCCGTGTGTGAGCAGCCCATAGACTATGATGGTTTCCAGCTCTTCATGACCACCTACCTGGAGAACGACATCCCTGAGGAGCTGTGTCAGCACCTGTTCACCTCCTTCAAGAGCAAGACAGGGGGCTGCTCTCCTGAGGGGCCCCGCGCTGGAGCAGGACTGCTGGGTGAGTAGTGGCCTCCCTCACCCTGGTGGCGATTTACTCTGGCTGGGACTGGTGAGAACCTGGGTCGTGTTCAGTAGAGCAGTAGGGTTTATTTTTTCGTTTTTGCAACAGAAAACGAATATCTGTGTTCTTATTGGACAAGTTCAGGTAGTACCTTCCCTTTCCAAATTGATTCTCAATGTTTTCTAACCTACTGAACATGACCCTGGTATATATCAACAGTCTTTCCTGGCTCTCAAAAGCAGTTGCATTTGAACTGGGGTTGATTGAGTATCTGGTTCTTGAATGGATGGAATACTACTGTATGCATCTCCCAAATTAGATTCCCTCGCAGGTTAACCCTGGTCTCAGGGAGAGTGTCCTTCTGCTACAGATTGTAGTCAAGGGAGTTAGTGCATCTGCCTCTGCCTGCAATAAGAAAATTCTCAAACACTTTCCAAAAAAACACAATGCAAACACTGCTGCTTTACTTGCCATGGCAGATCCTTCAGGAATACACACACACAAAAACAACATACACACACACATGTTCATGTACCATTTGAATGAACTGATTAAGCGTAAAGTGGTGCTGGAGTGGTCACAAACAGGGACAGCTATGGAGCTATGGTTTTGGTTCCTTACTTCCACTGCACCTGGACAGCTTGTAAACTGTGTATCCTCCTCCGCCATATGAGTTTATATATAGGACCTGTGTGGGCTCTAACAGCCTGCCTGGCTGTCCCTCACTGCTGAACAGCTGAACACTAGGGGACAGATGGGAGGAATCTAACCCCTCTCCAAATGGAAAGATAGAGGGATGGGATGGAGGGATTTGAATGCGAGCCCACCCAACCATCTGAGATGGAGAGATGGAGGGAGAGCGAAAGATGGAGCGAGAGAGAGATGGGGGAGAGGTGGTGTTACTCCTCCTGAGCCTCTTCATTGGATCAGATGTGGAGAAGAAAAAAACAACACAGCCTACACTGCCATCTGGTGTTGGATCTCTCTACTAACCTCCGTGGGTGTGCAGAAATGAGAGGATCAGATAGATAGATACACATTTACCCAGCTAGTGTCTGTCTTTCCCTGAAGACTTGTTTTCCTAATATGACTGTGTATGTCTGTCTGTCTGTCTCTCTCTCTTCGTATTTGTTTATCTCTCTCCCCCTCTATTTCTCCTTTCTCTCCTCTCTCTCTCTCTCCTTTCCTCTCTCTCTCCTTTCCTCTCTCTCTCTCTCCTTTCCTCTCTATCCTTTCCTCTCTCTATCTCCCTCTCCTTTCCACTCTCACTCTCACTCTCACTCTCTCTGTCAGTCACATCATGGTTTTATCATTCAGGACCAGAGAGGCTTGCGTTGCCTTGCCTGAATCCATCTCCCAGTCCCCAACAAAAAGAGAAGGAATAAGTCTTTCTAGTGTGCTGTTGACACTATTCTTCCCTCCTCTGTCATGATAGAAGGTCTCTTTTGTTGTGTGCTGGAGAGGTAGGGGCCACAGTTCTCTAATAGGTTGATATTCTGCTTTCCTCACAGGGCCAAACAGACTCTTTCTTTTATCACTTTCATTACTTCCTGTCCTTCCTTGCCTACAGCACCAGTAGAGGATTTTACTATACGGGCCAATAGGAACCTGCTTCATTAATGATCCTCATGATCCTAGCAATGCATTGGTTAGAAGAATGTGTTATTGTTTGACTATAGACAAGGTCCCATAATTGGTCTATAGTCATTGAAGCACTAGTCTGCTCCTTTAGACTACCGCAACCTCTAATCTGCTTTGTCTTTTTATATTGCTTTTTAAAATGTCACCAGATAGATTTTTACTATATTTTATTATATTTTTATTTAATTGGAAATGTATTGAATTTAGCCTTGGCTATAAATAGAATCCCTCCCACATTGCCAGACAATATAAATATATCTGACTCCTTCTCCTTCCCCTTTAAAACAGCCTATATCACACTCCTTCTAGTGCATTGCTTTCACTTTCTCTGTCTTGCTTTTCTTGCCCTGGTGTGTCTGCAGAGCCGCGTTCCATTGATGCAGGCATCTCTATACAGACTGAAGTGGCCTGTGCCCCCATAACAGGTACCACTGCCACTGCAGGACAACAGGACAATGTCTAGATAACCCTACTAAGACTCAAGGTCCAGCTACTGTCTGTCACCAGTGTTTGACTGTTGTTTTAAAGTGACTTGTGATCTGTGTTTTGGTGCAGGTGACATGGTAGTACTCTGTACATGGCTCAGTGGAATTGCATTTGTTGTAAACTATTGTTTTGTGTGTGAAGTATATCTCACCTGACCTTTCTGTGGCGTCCTTGTTACTGTTGTGGAAAAAAAAAGTCCAGTTGTTGGTTTTGTATTTGTCAGTTTGAATCTCTCTTCATGACCCTTGGTTGGAAAGCGAGGTATCTTTACTTTTTGTTGTTTGTTGTGAAGGCTTAATCCTCAATGCTAAATGTCTGCTTCTGTAAACACAATTGTTTGCAAAGTAACCAGTCCACTGCCTACCTATCTTGCTTTGTCTTTCCTGAAATCATCTTTCCCCCTCATCTCCCCCTTTCTGTCTTCTAGGAATTAATGGGAAGAGCATCCTGACAGCAATGGGCCGGCACACGCCAGAGCATTCCATTGTGATGGCCACATGTTCAGGTGCCATGTCCACCTCTCCCTGCTCCTCCCGTTCCTCCTCACAGCGCTCTGGGACAGGGGCCCACACGCCCGGGGGTTCCTACCACTCACCTGCCTGCACCCAGGCCAAACCCTCCACAGGCAGCAGTAGTAATGCTCTGACCCCCACCCCAGCCAAGTCCCCAGCCTCCCCTCGCCTCTCCCCAGGTAAATACCTTGTTCAGGTACTGTAGGCAATTACACTGTTTTCCTGGAAAAGTTGTGACGCATGCTGTATTAGACTATGGTATTGCCATAAACAATGGATTCCAATGATATCAATGTTACAGAAATAGCCGAATCCACTAATTTGAAGGGGTGTCCACATACTTTTGTACTGATTTTCACTCACAGCAAGGCATTTTAGCTAGCAGTTTGATAAAGTGTGCAGGTCAGTATTGTCTGAGCTGTGGCCATTGATTTATGTTAGCTCAGTACTTTGCAAGGCAATGTAGGGCATGTGTATTGGTAGCTACCTAAGCTTTACCAGCGTTACACAGGCTATGCAATTCATTGGATTTGTTTTATGTGTCTATCACATCATATCACCATATCCATATCACCATGCCATATCACATTTCAATCTGCCATGTTGTTTAGTCATGCTCATGGTCATTGCTGTATGACATCCCCATCACACATTGATCTCTTGTTACATTACATCCATAGAGAGGATCAGAGCAGAAAAGAGGAGGAGTCCGTCAACCCAGAAGGGCTCCCCCTTACCCTCCCCCCAGGTGGTGTTTCTGAAGGACATTGTGTGTTACATGTCCCTGCTGGAGAGGGGCACACCAGAGGACAAGCTGGAATGTGAGTTACAGGGGTTGGTTGGAGGCAAGTTTGTAATGACTTGTGGCTGAAAGACCAAGAGAGGTCATGTAGAGTCAAGAGGTGTGTCCCTAAACCACTCAGAAAGACATCCTACCACAATTTGCGAGGATTAGTCAAATTGATTAATTCAGATAATACACACAGAAAAATGCTGGATTAAAAACAATCCAATTTGGGTTACCCAGCGCTACGTAACTATTGGACAGAACACATGCTGGGTGATTTTAACCCAGCCAGTTGGGTTGTGTGAATAACCCAACATGTTGGGTTGTTTGTATCACCCAAACATGGGTTAATTTAGCCATCAGTTGGGTTTTTATTAACTTTCATACTGGGTTGACCCAGCAGCTGGGTCTTTTTTAATGGAATGGGTTATTTTCAGGAGGTGTGGCCTATTAGGGGCATGGCCTTCAGATAGTTTTTTGGGGCCATACGTGAGAGTAAATGTTATTCCTGCTCATGTTAAGTTTGTACACTGCAAATGTTAATTTTTGTTGAATATTTTTGCACATTACATATTTTTTTATAAAATTAATAACATTATTATTTACATATTGTAACAAACATGGGATATGCATACGCTCTTGAGGAACTCATATGTGTAAGCCTCATTAAAACTACAAAAGTGAACAATGCACCTTATCATGTGATAACAATACAACAGAACAGATAAAACAGAATTACATTTACTCTTGCGGGTGACCAAAAATAACTATCTGAAAGCCACACCCCTACTAAGCCACGCCTCCAGTCTTCTGATCTAACCCACTGGGTCATATCTCAATAACCCAGCATCAACAACCCAACCTTGCTGGGGGGGTTTTCGTACCCCCTTTTTCTCCCCAATTTTGTGATTACGATCTTGTCTCATCGCTGCAACTCCCCAAAGGGCTTGGAAGAGGCGAAGGGCGAGTCATGTGTCCTCCGAAACATGACCCGCCAAGCCGCGCTTCTTAACACCTGCTTGCTTAACCCGGAACCAGCTGCACCGATGTGTCGGAGGAAACACCGTTCAACTGACGACCGAAGTCAGCCTACAGGCGCCCGGCCAAACCCTCCCCTAACCCGGACGACACTGGGACAAACAACCCAACTAAATGACCCAACGCCTGCAACCCAGCAGTTGGGTGATCCAAACAACCCATCATTTTTTAGATTGTACATTTAATTATTTAAGCAATTAATGTTTACAGCCCTATTTATGTGGCCAAATACAGTCGAGCTGTCACACACACACACACACACACACACACACACACACACACACACACACCTGCCTACACACGCAGTAGTACAGTGAGTGACTGGTTGTCAGCAGTGAGTCAGGTGTCATCCTCCCCTGGGGATTAGCTCCTGTCCTCGTTAGCCCCTTGACATCCTAAGCCTTGGTGTGTCTAATAGACTTCTTTAGCATCGGGAGCTATATCCGCACACCCTGACACAGCTAATCTCAGCAAACCGATTCCGACATCTCAACAACACAGAAGTACATGTCACGCTCTATTACCTCCCCCAGCTTCAACACAGGAGTGGTGTCGTTTGGCGCTCTAATACTTCCCCGGCTCTCCAGAGGGGGGTCTCACTGGGAATGATAGCGGTGCTAACAGGGACTCATTATAGCTGAATCATGGGGTCCCTTTTCTCTCTTTCCCCTCTAGTCATGTTCCGGCTGTACGACACAGATGGCAATGGAGTACTGGACAGCTCGGTAAGTCTGGCCCTCTCTCCTCTTCTCTTTTCTCCTCTCCTCTCACCTTCTCTCCTCTTCTCTCCCCAGTCCAATTACATACCAACCCTCCCACTAGGCACACCACGTAATTTCAACGTGGATAATTGGGTAATAAAAGTACGGTGCAATTGATCAATGCCGTTCGAGATTCTGCACAGATTATTATAGCAGTTGTGAAGATCTCCACAGACCTGCGACAACCTATGCATGCTATCTTGAACATGCACGCTTTATATGATTACATAAAAATACATTTATAGTTACAGTAACTGCTCCATCTCAACCAAAAATGTTAAAGAATAGGACTAAATCAAATCAAATGCACTTTACATAAAGTTTAATTTGATTTAATCCTATTCTTTAACTTTGATTTTTGGTTGAGATGGAGATGTGAATCCAACATATCAATTATTAATTTGAAAACAAACTGGAATTAAAGCCACACATATGGAACTATCCAAGCAGAAGATACATCTCCTTCAAATGTTGATATTACGTTGCGTTGATACCCAAACACAATTAAATACACACTACCGTTCAAAATTTTGGGGTCACTTACAAATGTCCTTATTTTCCATGAAAACATACATGAAATGAGTTTGAATAGGAAATATAGCAAAATGCATAGGAAATGTAGTCATTGACAAGGTTAGAAATAATGATTTTTAATATAAATAATAATTGTGTCCTTCAAACTTTGCTTTCGTCAAAGAATCCTCCATTTGCAGCAATTACAGCCTTGCAGACCTTTGGCATTCTAGTTGTCAATTTGTTGAGGTAATCTGAAGAGATTTCACCCCATGCTTCCTGAAGCACCTCCCACAAGTTGGATTGGCTTGATGGGCACTTCTTACGTACCATACGGTCAAGCTGCTCCCACAACAGCTCAATAGGGTTGAGATCCAGTGACTGTGCTGGACACTCCATTATAGACAGAATACCAGCTGACTGCTTCTTCCCTAAATAGTTATTGCATAGTTTGGAGCTGTGCTTTGGGTCATTGTCCTGTTGTAGGAGGAAATTGGCTCCAATCAAGGGCCGTCCACAGGGTATGTCATGGCGTGGGCGGCAGGTAGCTTAGTGGTTAAGAGCGTTGTGCCAGTAACCGAAAGGTCGCTGGTTCTAATCCCCGAGCCGACTAGGTGAAAAATCTGTCGATGTGCCCTTGAGCAAGGCACTTAACCCTAATTGCTCCTGTAAGTCGCTCTGGATAAGAGCATCTGCTAAATGACTAAAATGTAAAAATGTAAATGTTGCAAAATGGAGTGATAGCCTTATAATAATAAAATAATATGCCATTTAGCAGACGCTTTTATCCAAAGCGACTTACAGTCATGCGTGCATACATTTTTGTGTATGGGTGGTCCCGGGGATCGAACCCACTACCTTGGCGTTACAAGCGCCGTGCTCTACCAGCTGAGCTACAGAGGACCACAGCCTTCCTTCTTCAAGATCCCCTTTACCCTGTACAAATCTCCCACTAAAGCACCCCCAGACCATCACATTGCCTCCACCATACTTGACAGATGGCATCAAGCACTCCTCCAGCATTATATATTATTTTCATTTGGTCTGTGTCTCACAAATGTTCTTCTTTGTGATCTGAACACCTCAAACTTCGATTTGTCTGTCCATAACACTTTTTTCCAATCTTCTGTCCAGTGTCTGTGTTATTTTGCCCATCTTAATATTTTCTTTTTATTGGCCAGTCTGAGATATGGCTTTTTCTTTGCAACTCTGCCTAGAAGGTCAGCATCCCGGAGTCGCCTCTTCACTGTTGACGTTGAGACTGGTGTTTTGCGGGTACTATTTAATGAAGTTGCTAGTTGAGGACCTGTGAGGCGTCTGTTTCTCAAACTAGACACTCTAATGTATTTGTGCTCTTGCTCAGTTGTGCACCGGGGCCTCCCACTTCTCTTTCTATTCTGGTTAGAGCCAGTTTGCGCTGTTCTGTGAAGGGAGTAGTACACAGCGTTGTACGAGATCTTCAGTTTCTTGGCAATTTCTCGCATGGAATAGCCTTCATTTGTCAGAACAAGAATAGACTGACGAGTTTCAGAAGAAAGTTATTTGTTTCTGGCCATTTTGATCCTGTAATCGAACCCACAATTGCTGATGCTCCAGATACTCAACTAGTCTCAAGAAGGCCAGTTTTATTGCTTCTTTAATCAGCACAACGGTTTTCAGCTGTGCTAACATAATTGCAAAAGGGTTTTCTAATGATCGATTAGCCTTTTTAAATGATAAACTTGGATTAGCGCAAACAACGTGCCATTGGAACACAGGACTGAAGGTTGCTGATAATGGGCCTCTGTACGTCTATGTAGATATTCCATAAAAAATCAGCCGTTTCCAGCTACAATAACCATTTACAACATTAACAATGTCTACCCTGTATTTCTGATCAATTTGATGTTATTTTAATGGACAAAAAAATTGATTTTCTGTCGAAAACAAGGACATTTCGAAGTGACTCCAAACTTTTGAACGGTAGTGTAACTAAATATCGTTACATTTGAAATCAACCAGAGCATGAAACCCTAGGCCTAGGGTTTCAATAAAATAGTCACACATCATGACTTTTTAAACATTGTGTTGTGTAACAGCCTGAATTAAAAATTTATTAAATTGAGATTTTGTCTCACTGGCCTACACACAATGCCCCATAATGTTAAAGTGGAATTATGTTTGAAGAAGTTTTTACAAATTAATTACAAATTAAAAGCTGAAATGTCTCCATTCAATAAGTATTCAACCACTTTGTTATGGCAAGCCTAAATAAGTTCAGGAGTAAAAATATGCTTAACAAGTCACATAATAAGTTGCATGGACTCACTCTGTGTGTAATAATAGTGTTTAACATTATTTTTGAATGACTGACTTCATCATCTCTGTACCCCACACATACAATTATCTGTAAGGTCCATCAGTCGAGCAGTGAATTTCACAGATTCAACCACAAAGAAGGGCTCCTATTAGTAGATGGATAAAAATAAAAAAGCAGACATTGAAGTTATTAATTACACTTTGGATGGTGTATCAATACACCCAGTCACTAAAAAAAGATACAGACGTCCTTCATAACTCAATTGCCAGAGAGGAAGGAAACCACTCAGGGATTTCACCAATGGCTGTGATTGGAGAAAACTGAGGATGTATCAACAACATTGTAGTTACTCCACAATACTAACCTAAATGACAGAGTAAAAAGAAGGACGCCTGTACTGAATCAAAATATTCCAAAACATGCATCCTGTTTGCAATAAGGCATTAAAGTAAAACTGCAGATAATGTGGCAAAGAAATGAACTGTATGTCCTGAATACAAAGTGTTATGTTTGGGGCAAACACAACACATCACCGAGTACCACGCTTCATTTTTTCAAGCATGGTGGTGGCTGCATGATGTTATGCGTATGCGTGTCATCGACAAGGACGAGGGAGTTTTTTAGGATAAAAAGGAACGTAATGGAGCTAAGCACAGGCAAAATCCTAGAGGAAAACCTGGTTCAGTCTGCTATCCAACAGACACTGGAAGACAAATTCACCTTTCAGCAGGACAATAACCCAAAACACAAGGCCAAATATACACTGGAGTTGCTTACCAAGACGACATTGAATGTTCCTGAGTGGCCTAGTTACAGTTTTGACTTAAATCGGCTTGAAAATCTATGGCAATACTTGAAAATGGCTTCTAGCAATGATCAACAACCAACCTGACAGAGCATGAAGAATTATTTTAAGAAAATGTGCAGATATTGTACAATCCAAGTGTGCAAAGCTGTTAAAGACTTACCCAGAAAGACTCACAGCTGTAATCGCTGCCAAAGGTGATTCTAACATATAAATGAGACATTTCTGTATTTAATTTTCAATAAATGTGCTAAAATGTATAAAAACATGTTTTCACGTTGTTATTATGGGGTATTGTGTGTAGATGGGTGAGGAAAAAAATCTATTTAATCAATTTTGAATTCAGACTGTTACACAACAAAATGCAGAATACTTTAGGGGTATGAATACTTTCTGAAGGTACTGTATTGTCTATTTTAGGTTAATCCTGGATTGAATTGAAACAATAGCTGTTGATGACTTTGCAAATACTATATAGTCATAAATAGCATAATTGATGATACAGTATATGATTGATAGAGTATGGTAACATTTAATTTGCTCTGTTAATGCTACCCTTTCGAATGACTTCAATAGCAACAGTAAATCTATTTCATTTTTAAATTGGAGATCACTCAACGATAGCACATTGGTAATAGTCAGTGACAAATATCATAGCTAAGCTAGGCTTGGTTAAAACCCTGGATGGGAGACCAAAGAGTAGCTGTAGATAGATCAATTCTCCAGTAGGAGGTGCTGCCCAGCCTATAGTTTTTTTTTCTGATAGTGGATATCATGTGACATTGTTTCAAAGGTACAAATTGAAAAATTTTCATACAAGGTTTGTCTATGTTGAAATTTGGTTACCATGATGACATAATCCTGCGGTTGAAATTGTACCATCAAAACAACAGTTTACGTTGATTACTTTTTTCAAATCCAATGTATTTTCCACGTAGACTCCACATCACAATACGCTGACAAATTACATTGAAACAACGTTGATTCAACCAGTTTGTTCCCAGTCAGCTGTTTCTATTAAATTGTGCAAAAGCTACATTCTTAGATCTCTGCAACAGTATAGCCTGTATGATGAATCATAGTATAATGAATCAACGAGGGCAGAGTAGTTAATCATTCTAGTCTCTGCTGAGCTGAACTGCTTGCTGGTGTCCAGCAATAGAAATCATGAATGCACAGTCAAAGGATACAATCCTCATAGGATGATGTGGATGTAGATTATATCAGAGGACTTGTAGTCTGACTCTGGGTGACTTCATGTATTTTCAAGGAGACTTCCTATGATCTCCCATTCCACAATGTGCAGGGTTGTCTCGTTTCCTAAACAGAGAAGTAGAACATGTGTGATTGTAAACATGAATGAGCCTCAGTGTTGTTGTGGTCCCCTCTCGGTCAGTCTATTGTTAGTAATGTTGTGCCCTCTTTATGTGTGTGGATGAGTTCATTTGTTATCAAGAAGACTGCCACAGTGGTGTTGTTGTGGTCTAATGTTTTGCTCTCTTCCTGTGTGTGTAGGAACTGGACCGCATCATCAATCAGATGGTCCACGTGGCAGAGTATCTGGAATGGGACTCTACAGAGCTGCGACCAGTAAGGATGCACACAGCCTTATGTGTCTTGTTTCCCCTGTTCCCAATATATTGGGGCGTTGGAGTAGGTCGACCTGAACAGGCTAGCTTAACTACAGTGACGAGGAAACATTGGAACGTTACAGTATTATAATATTACTGGACTCATCTGCTGTCCTCCCCGTCTCCTTGTGTTCTAGATCCTGAAGGAGATGATGGAAGAGATAGACTATGACCGAGACGGAACAGTCATTCTGGAGGAGTGGATCAGAGGAGGCCTCACCACCATCCCTCTGCTGGTCCTGCTGGGCATGGAGACGGTAAGACACTGTGTGTGTGTGTGTGTGTGTGTGTGTGTAATATAATATGATAATGGATGCCATATAACAGATGCTTTTATCTAAAGCGACTTGCAGTACAGTGAGTGCATACATGAGAGCATACATTTTAGTAAGTGTATGATCCCTATGGGAAGAGAGATAGTGTTTGTGTGTGTGTGTGTCTCTGTGAGTGCGTTTGGGGCGGCAGTTCCAAAAAATCTCTCTCTCTCTCTCTCTCTCTCTCTGTAGAATGTGCAGGAGGATGGGCAGCATGTGTGGAAACTAAAGCACTTCAACAAGCCAGCCTACTGTAACTACTGCCACACCATGCTGCGGGGAGTCCGCAAGCAGGGCCTCTGCTGCTCTAGTGAGTCTGTGTGTGGCCCTCAGTTCCACTCTCTCTCTCCTTCAGTCCCTATTTCTGTCCCTCGTTGGCATTCACTACTCCACTCTCTCTGTTCTCTCTCTTCCTGAATGCCTTTCAGTTCCTCTCTCTGTCTTTCAACCAGATGCTTGTCTCTATTTCTCTCTGACTCTGTTATCCCATCCTCCATTCTGTGAATAACAAACATGACTGCATGACTAATTAATGATCTACTATCAAGGCAAGGTTTATGTTATCACTGGGTCATGAAAGGGTTGGTCTTACTGCTCAGTGTTCATCCACTGGTTAACTGTCTCTCTCTGTACCTCTGTGTTTCAGTATGCAAGTACACAGTCCATGAACGCTGTGTGTCCAAAGACATCGCTGCCTGCATCAGTACCTACGCCAAGTCCCGCAGACACACTAATGTGAGTATTATACAGACAACTACACACAGACACACACACACACAGTGACGATATTGTCGTGTGTCATTACAGTATCTATTATGTGCCTATGTTTTAGAAAACTTGTGACAAATATTGAGAAATATATGCCTACCCTTTACTAAACGACTCACAAATCTCTTGCGTGCATTACTCATGCTAGTGTAATCCTCTCAATCAGTGAGCTTGACCATGACTCAGGCTTACAATATCCTACCTTAAGTGACTCTTTAGTGTGATGCCTTAAGCTGACCCAGAGCTAACCCCTAACCACCATCTGACTAACGTTGTGAGAATAGAACGCCCTGCCGTCGCTAAGCAACCTGTTTTGGCAGTTGGCCGAGTGCTAAGGACTGGAGAGGAGCAGAAGGATCATGGGAACAGGGACTCACACACACACACACACACACACCCCTACGCATGGGATCATGGAGGCAGGGAGATCATGCAGCGCTACTTATGTTGTTAACCGGTCTCTATATATAAAATCTGATTTAATTAGACCCCTTCTGGAATGAACTCACAGACCTTGAAATTGTCCCTCTAAAGCCCCCTCTCTCTCTCTCCAGATGGAGGTCTACTCTGTTTCTGCGCCACTTCACTTTCTCAAGTCTGGTTCACTAGCAGATGATGCCTTTCAGATGGCCTTTTATTTTTGTAGATATCTGACACTAAATATAGCACGTTTAGCACTAGATTTATGTTGTGACCTTTTAATTGGGATTGTTCCTGTCTCTATCTCTCTCGCTCTTTCTCTCACTCTCTCCTTTTTCTTCCGTCCCTCCAGGCTATGCAGCACGTGTGGATGGAGGGAAACTCTCCTACTAAGTGCGACCGCTGTCACAGAAGTATCAAGTGCTACCAGGGCTTAACGGGCCTACACTGTGTGTGGTGTCAGATCACTGTAAGTAGTACACACTCAGGGCCATAACTACATATGAGGACACTGAGATAATAAAAATATATATTTTGTACACAAAGAAAATCAATATGAAAATATTAATCCCAGCGTTGATCAAAGCTCAGAACGCTTATATTCTTGATCTGACTGAGTTCTAATCGCGCTTGCCTCTTTGCAAATGAGTGGAATCATGAACAGTGGTTTGTTCGTTATGTTCAGCTGCGTCCCTGGATTTGCCTCCCGGATTTGCCTTTTTAGCAGCACAATCACCACTCTCTCAAACGGCTAACTCCACCCTCTCATGGCACAGGCTGAGGGCCTGAGACGTGAAACGAACTACCCCAGCTCGGTGTCGGCTCAAGTAAGCAAACAGCTGACAGTGCGTTTGCAAGATGCCGGACAAAAGGCCATTTTAGAACCGCCTGTGACTCCTGCCACATTTACAGACATCCCCCAAACAAACAAAAACTACTCTCAGAGAATGAGTGCACAACTGGTAAATAGTTGCTTAAAAATATGTCAATCAGTCAGGTGGCTAGCTGCCGGCAGAGACTTCTATTGCAGTAATGTTGAAGGGCTCTGGCTAGTATTACTTAAGAAGCTAACATTAAACAGAGCCTACCTCAGTAGGAGCAAAGAATAGGCTACTAAATGCTCATAATAACTTTGCTTTACAGAGAGTAGGCTAACTGAGACAGACAGTTATATGGCGCTAGGTGGGGAGGCTGAGGCAGGCTGCAATGCATGCAGGAGGAAGCTGAGGATAGAGAGAGTTTAGTACAGTGGTTCCCTAATTTGGGGTCAGGGCCCCATGTGGGGTCCCCCGAGAAAATCTGTACTAATCTTATCAAACAAGTTAGGAACTAAAAAAAATAAGATATGTTTCAATATGAACATCTCCACATGGCCTGTATTCCATATAGGCATAGGCCTATATTAAAATGCAATCAAAATGCAAACAATACAATTCTAAAAATGTCATACGTTTTCATTTGTATCGTTGGTTGTTCGTCTTAATCTCAATCGCCCACTGGAGTTTATAGTTTCCCCATTACCCACCTTTTTTTACCATTACATCACTGATATTAATACAGAATCGTAAGTATTATTCTAATAATTCATGTGAATGTGATTAATACGATCATCTGTGTGCTCCATTGATGATACGATCATCTGTGTGCTCCATTGATGTCTGTTTGTGCAGAGGTTGATTAGTAATGCCTAGGAATACAAAGTGAAAGCTATATATTTTGAAAAAAATAATGTAAAGAGTTGATGATTTTATGCAAATTCATCATTGCTATGTGTCAGTGTGAATCATTTGTCATATTTCCCCCCTTTCAGGGGTATAACATTACAATTGTATAGCTAATGTGATGTGTTTGTAGATTAATGTGAATGAACCTACCTTTTGTTGCTGTTCTCCAAATTGCATTTTCTACGTTTTTAAATTGTATAGAAATGCAGTAAATTAGCTTCAACCCCCCCCCCCCCATTTTCTAATTTCGACTTTACCTTAGATGTCCACTAGATGTCACCATTAGGTAAATGTTCAGATGAAAACTCAAACTGTGGTACCTCAAACCACCAGTAAGGGGAGTTCAAAGAGCTTGCTTGGGTGGTCAATTTATATATATATATAATTTAGTAATGGGCTCATCCCTGTAGTATCACAGCAGGCATTCATTCATCCTCAGTCTTAGAAGCAGCTACTGTACTTTGCATTAAATCAGACTTTGTCAGACATCAATCAAGGGAAAGAGGATATATTGGGCGGCGCACAATTGGCCCAGCGTCGTCCGGGTTTGGCCGGTGTAGGCCGTCATTGTAAATAAGAATTTGTTCTTAACTGACTTGCCTAGTTAAATAAAGGTAAAATAAATTTCAATATCATTTATATTTAGTTATTATTAGCTTTCAACTTTTATAGGGCTTTTAAGTGAAGTGTTTTGCATTGTATCTGGTACTATTATGCAATATCTCCTCATTCTCTTTCTTCTCCTCCTTCTCTGCTCTTTTCCTCCCTCCATTCTCCTCATCCTCCTCCCTGATCAGCTCCATAATAAGTGTGCGTCCAACATGAAGCCGGAATGTGATGGAGGAGCCCTTAGAGACCACACTCTACTCCCCTCTTACATCTGCCCTGTCGTCCTGGTGAGATCACATGCCGTAAATCTCTAAATGTTTTATCTCCAATACTTTCAATGCTGAAAAACCCCCTTGAGATATATAACTATAGGCCCACAATGGTATACACCACAGGAGGCTGATGAGTGGACGACAGCTCATAATAATGGCTGGAATGGAGTTAATGGAATGGTATCAAACACATGGAAACCATGTATTTGATGTGTTTGATACCATTCCATTAATTCCGTTCCAGCCATTACTATGAGCCCGTCCTCCCCAATTAAGGTGCCACCAGCCGCCTGTTGTATACACCTTTTGTCCAATTTCTCTGTCACAATTCATAAACACACATTCATATTTCTGTCTATTTATGTGTCTCTATGTCTGCTGGCCTATCTATCTGTCTGTAGGACCGTCATTCTGTTGTGAAGCGGGGTGAAGGGGACTCCCCGCCCAGCACCAGCCCTGATGACCCGAGTCAGAGCTTCAAATTCACAGGAGACGGACAAGCACTGCAGGTGAGTGAATCGAGCCCAGAGCATGTTCAGAGCCTTGGAGTCTGTTGTGTTCGCTCATGGCAGGCTAAAGTGTGTGTTGATTGTGTATCCATGGATATACACTATATCTCATTAGACTGTCTCTGCTCTCCTGTCCAGATCACTCCTCTCCCAGGCACACATCCCCTCCTGGTCCTGGTCAACCCAAAGAGTGGCGGGAGACAGGGAGAGCGGTAAGTGACATAGAGCACAAATTTCCTAGGTGGAAAAGGTCCGGATGGATATTGTCTATCACCGTAGTAAAAAAAAAAAACACCTCGCGACCCATGTGACCCCAAACTGTTCACTCCCCTCTTGTTGGCATAAAGAAAATGTTGCAGTTTTTAAGCAAATTTCCTGCAATTCTACAAATTTTTCCATAGGACAGATAAATTGTTTTGCAGGTTTAAAGCTAATTTCCTGCAATTCGACACATTTTGCCATGTCTTATGTGTGTTCATATGATATCTGAGTGAGTCAAATTTTTGTGTCACTGGCCTACACTCAATACTCCATAATGTCAAAGTGGAATATTTCACAAATTCATTAAAAATGAAAACCTGAAATGTCTTGAGTCAATAAATATTCAAGTCCTTTGTTATGGCAAGCCTACATAAGTTCAGGAGTAAACATGTAAGTTGCATGTACTCATGTGTGCAATAATAGCGTTTAACATGATTTTTGAACGACTACCTCATCTCTGTACCCCACACATTATCTGTAAGGTCCCTCAGTCGAGCAGTGAATTTCTAACACAGATTCAACCACAAAGACCAGGGAGGTTTTCCAATGCCTCGCAAAGAAGACTCAAGAGACAGATTCCAACATCTGTAAAATGTAATACTTCCCCCCAAAAAACAAATCCTCCTCCAAATATGGTATTTTACAGTTAATACCGTCAATATTGTTAGATGGGTAAAAAAAAAGCAGACATTGAATATCCCTTTGACCATGGTGAAGTTATTCATTACACTTTGGATGGCGTATCAATACACCCAGTCACAACCAAGATACAGGCATCCTTCCTAACTCAGTTGCCGGAGAGGAAGGAAACCGCTCAGGGATTTAACCATGAGGCGAAAAAACTAAAACTATTACAGAGTTTGATGGCTGTGATAGGAGAAAACCGAGGATCGATTAACAACATTGTAGTTATTACTCTACAATCCTAACCTAAATGACAGAGTGAAAAAAAGGAAGCCTGTACAGAAACAAAATCTTCCAAAACATGCATCCTATTTGCAACAAGGCATTAAAGTAAAACTGCAGAAAATGTAGAGAAGGAATTAACTTTATGTCCTTAATACAAAGCGTTATGATTGGGGCAAATACAACACAACACATCACTCTTCATTTTTTCAAACTTGGTGGTGGCTTCATCATGGTGGAGTTTTTTAGAATAAAAAGAAATGGAATAGAGCTAAACACAGGCAAAATCCTAGAGGAAAACCTGGTTCAGTCTGCTTTCCAACAGACACTGGGAGACAAATTTACCTTTCAGCAGGACAATAACCTAAATCACAAGGCCAAATTTACACTGGAGTTGCTCACCAAGACGACATTGAATGTTCCTGAGTGGCCTAGTTACAGTTTTGAATTAAATCGGCTTAAATATGGCAAGACTTGAAAATGGCTGTCTAGCAATGATCAACAACCAACTTGACAGAGCTTGAATATTTTTTTTCTGAATAATGTGCAACTATTTTACAATCCAGGTGTGCAAAGCTCTTCAGAGATTTACCCCAAAATACTCCCAGCTGTAATAACTGCCAAAGGTGATTCTAACATGTATTGACTGAGGGGTATGAATACTTATAGTACCAGTCAAAAGTTTGGACACACCTACTCATTCAAGGGATTTTCTTAATTTTTTACTATTTTCTACATTGTAGAATGATAGGGAAGACATCAAAACGATGAAATAACATATATGGAATCATGTAGTAACCCAAAAAGTGTTAAACAAATCAAAATATATTTTAGATTTTAGATTCTTCAAATAGGCACCATTTGCCTTGATGACAGCTTTGCACACTCTTGGCATTCTCTCAACCAGCTTCATGAGGAATGCTTTTCCAACAGTCTTGAAGGAGTTCCCAGATATGCTGAGCACTTGTTGGCTGCTTTTCCTTCACTCTGCGGTCCAACTCATCCCAAACCATTTCAATTGGATTGAGGTCGGGAGATTGTGGAGGCCAGGTCATCTGATGCAGCACTCCATCTCTCTCCTTCTTGGTCAAATAGCCCTTACACAGCCTGGAGGTGTGTTTTGGGTAATTGTCCTGTTGAAAAACAAATGAACAAACCAGATGGGGTGGCGTATCACTGCAGAATGATGAGGTAGCCATGCTGGTTAAGTGTGCCTTGAATTCTAAATAAATCATGACAGTGTCACCAGCAAATCACCCCCACACCTTCACACCACCTCCTCCATGTTTCACGGTGGGAACCACACATGCGGAGATCATCCGTTCACCTACTCTGCGTCTCACAAAGACATGGCGGTTGGAACCAAAAATCTCTAATTTGGACTCATCAGACCAAAGGACAGATTTCCACAGGTCTAATGTCCATTGCTCGTGTTTCTTGGCCCAAGCAAGTCTCTTCTTCTTATTGGTTTATTTGCAGCAATTTGACCATGAAGGCCTGATTCATGCAGTCTCCTCTGAACAGTTGATGTTGAGATGTGTCTGTTACTTGAACTCTGTGAAGCATTTATTTGGGCTGCAATTTCTGAGGCTGGTAACTCTAATGAACTTATCCTTTGCAGCAGAGGTAACTCTGGGTCTTCCATTCCTGTGGCGGTCCTCATGAGAGCCAGTTTCATCATAGCACTTGATGGTTTTTGCGACTGCACTTGAAGAAACTTTAAAAGTTCTTGAAATGTTCCATATTGACTGACCTTCATGTCTTAAAGTAATGATGGACTGTCGTTTCTCTTTGATTATTTGAGCTGTTCTTGCCATAATATGGACATGGTCTTTTACCAAATTGGGCTATCTTCTATATACCACCCCTACCTTGTCACAACACAACTGATTGGCTCAAACGCATTTAGAAGGAAAGAAATTCCACAAATTAACTTTTCAGAAAGCACACCTGTTAATTGAAATGCATTCCAGGTGACTACCTCATGAAGCTGGTTGAGAGAATGCCAAGAGTGTGCAAAGCTTTCATCAAGGCAAAGGGTGGCTATTTGAAGAATCTCAAATATAAAATATATTTTGATTTGTTTAACACTTTTTTGGTTACCACATGATTCCATATGTGTTATTTCATAGTGTTGATGTCTTCACTATTATTCTACAATGTAGAAAATAGTAAAAAATAAAGAAAAACCCTGGAATGAGTAGGTGTGTCCAAACTTTTGACTGGTACTTTATATACAGTGCATTCCAATTTTTCCACATTTTGTCATGTTACATTCTTATTCTAAAATTGATTAAATTGTTTTTTTTCCCCTCATCAATCTACACACAATACCCCATAATGACAAAGCAAAAACTGGTTTTTAGACATTTTTGCAAATGTATTAAAAATAAATAACTTAAATATCACATTTACATAAGTATTCAGACCCTTTACTCAGTACTTTGTTGAAGCACCTTTGGCAGCGATGACAGTTTCGAGTCTTCTTGGGTATGACGCTACAAGCTTGGCACACCTGTATTTGGGGAGTTTCTCCCATTCTTCTCTGCAGATCCTCTCAAGCTCTGTCAGGATGGATGAGGAACGTCACTGCACAGCTATTTTCAGGTCTCTCCAGAGATTCAGGCCAGAGAGTTCAATCTTGGTTTCATCAGACCAGAGAATCTTGTTTCTCATGGTCTGAGAGTCCTTTAGGTGCCTTTTGGCAAACTCCAAGCGTGCTGCCATGTGCCTTTTACTGAGGAGTGGCTTCCGTCTGGCCACTCTACCATAAAGGCCTGATTGGTGGAGTGCTGCAGAGATGGTTGTCCTTCTGAAAGATTCTCCCATCTCCACAGAGGAACTGTCAGAGTGACCATCGGGTTCTTGGTCACCTCCCTGACCAAGGCCCTTCTTCACCGATTGCTCAGTTTGGCCGGGCAGCCAGCTCTAGGAAGAGTCTTGGTAGTTCCAAACTTCTTCTATTTAAGAATGATGGAGGCCACTGTGTTTTGGTACCCTTCCCCAAATCTGTGCCTCGACGCAATTCTGTCTTGAAGCTCTACATACAATTCCTTCAACTTCATGGTTTGGTTTTTGTTCTGACATGCACTGTCAACTGTGGGACCTCATATAGACAGGTGTGTTCCTGTCCAATCAATTGAATTTACCACAGGTGGACTCCAATCAAGTTGTAGAAACATCTCAAGGATGATCAATGGAAACAGGATGCACCTGAGCTCAATTTCAAGTCTCATAGCAAAGGGTCTGAATACTTATGTAAATAAGGTATTTCTGTTTTTGAGAAAAAACCTGTTTCCGCTTTGTCATTATGGGGTATTGTGTGTAGATTGATGAGGGAAATGTTTTATTTAATCCATTTTAGAATAAGGCTGTAACGTAACAAAATGTGGAAAAAGTCAAGGTGTCTGAATACTTTCTGAATGCACTGTATATACAGTCTAATATTTATTTTTTAAGTCGGGACCCGTGGTCCGTATTGACCCTGTTCTGGGTCTGGATCCTGACCGCGGTCTGCTAGTTGAGTATGGCTGACATAGAGGGTCTCTGATTATTCACTCTGATTGAAACACTCCTGCAATATGTGTTTTATACAGTCATGTAATGCTACTGTCAAAGTGTTCTAAACTTTTGGCTGGCTACTTATCATAGAATCAAAGTAATGTGAAGCTAACATAGTTTGAGAGAAGAAATTCAAGAATTTAAAGGCTTTGTAATTTGGTAAATAATTATGGTCATTTCGCTGTGTCCTAAAGGCGCAAGTTCCATTCTGGCTGTAAATGAATGTGTTCCCTGTTTCAGTTCTCTCTCCTCCCACCATGCATTTCATAGCACCCTGAGGACACTTTTTTGGCTTCAGAAACACCATCACCATAGCAACATAGTCTTAAATACCCCTTAAAGGTAGAATTATTCTCTATTATTAGACGTGTTCTCGTACAAAAAGATGCATTTACTCTCTGAGTACAAAAAGCAAGTCTATTTATTTATCCCTTTTGATGTAAATAAGGAAATGAAAATGTTGGTGTTGAGTCACTGATTGATCAAGTTTTTGTGAATGAGCATTTGAAATGCCGTACAGTTCTCTTAAATTAAGTAGTATATCTCTACTAATTTCTCTTTCTGCATGAACTTGGTTAGACTTAAATTGAAGTGTTCTTTATGACACATTCATAACAGTATCCTAACACTTTTACTGCCCAAGTAATCTGCCACTCTACATAGTATGAGTTGCATTCTAGGCCAAATGATTAGTTCATCGTGACGCATTCTAACCTAGCTGTCGGCTTTCCGTTGTCTCCTCTACCCACTCCTCTTTATACTCTGTTCTCACTCTGACCAAAGTGCTGTGTGGGTATCGGAAGCTAACACAATTACCAGTGCAAGGCTCCGTGAAGAGCACTGTGGAGGCTTCAATAGAATAGACCTCTGATGCAGCTCCCGCTTGTCAAGGTTACAGAAAACTACTGTGTCAATGGGCACAGTACGCTATAGAGATATTGACAATTTGTGGAGCAGAACATATTAACAGTGTTTTTAAGTAAAAATGGTACTGTTTGGATGGTGCTTCTTTACATGTTATATGTCTGTCTTTGTATGCATGAAGTATTACCTCTCTCTCTCTTTCCCTCTCTCTCTGGCTCCATCTGTGCACATACAGTTTGTGAGTTTGTCAGTTTGTGTGTGTGCAGTAACTCTAACACGCTGTTATATGTCTCCTGCAGGGTATTGAGAAAGTTCCAGTACCTGCTGAACCCCAGACAGGTGTACAGTCTGGACCGAGAGGGACCCATGGTGGGGTAAGTCTAATCCTCATCTCTCACAGTCCCACCTATAGACACAGCCCAGAAAATGGATGGTGCCACTTCCCAAGGCAACACTTGCTCCAAGATTGGATTCATACAGAAATATATTTTTTTAATTCTACAGATGTAGGGTGACATGCTAAATAATGAAGTGTGCCATGTAAAAGGTTTCAGATTGAAATACTGAAATTGTTGAAATCTTGGATCCATGCCAAGTTATTATTTTTGGAATTTTGTTCTGTCCCAGATGGAACTTGGTTTTACAACAGAACACAGGCCGGATTTACTAGGATTCAAAGTGTATTCTCCCTACTGAACACAACCCTGGCAGGAAGCTACTGCACAATCAGATAGTCGCTATTCTCTATCCTCTCCACACACATGCACACTTCACCCACTTGACACACAAACACACACCTGATGTGCGTATCATCCTAGCCAGAGGGACACCTTGTACCTGAGTTGTGCAATACAGAACAGTTCATTCAGGAGAAATGCCCTACACAGCAACAATAGACATGAATGCTTTCTCCTGAGAGTGGCCAACCTATTCTATCCCTGCCTCCCCCACTTCTCCCTCTGCTGTCACGACTAGGGCTGCTCTCTCTCTCAAGAGCCCATTTTAGGAAGAGAGACATACTACAGTGACGCACTTCTCTCCCAAAGAATCCCACTAGTAGATAATAGACAGGGCATCAGGACAGTCCAGGTTAAATTAACTTGATGTAATGCCATTATTGCTGAATAAGTGGTAGTTGTATTATTAGTCGTGATAAGTTGCACTGCCTGTCATAACGAGAGCAGTGATGAAACTGATGATGGTGTATGTATGGTGTAGTAGGACACCAGGGAACAGTGGTTCCCTTTCAGTCGGTCACTCTGTGTAACATTATAGTTAGTAAGGATTGATTGAAGCTCAATGTTAAATTCATATTTAAGCCAATATTTTATTTATTTATTTTATCTAACCTTTATTTAACTAGGCAAGTCAGTTAAGAACAAATTATTATTTATAATGACAGCATACCAAAAGGCAAAAAGCCTCCTGCGGGGACGGGGGCTGGGATAAAATTTTTAAATTAAAATAAAATATAGGACAAAACACACATCATGACAAGAGAGACCTAAGACAACAACATAGCATGGCAGCAACACATGACAACACAGCATGGTAGCAACACAACATGACAACAACATGGTAGCAACACAACATGGCAGCAGCACAACATGGTAGCAGCACAAAACATGGTACAAACATTATTGGGCACAGACAACAGCACAAAGGGCAAAAAGGTAGAGACAACAATACATCACGCGAAACAGCCACAACTGTCAGTAAGAGTGTCCATGATTGAGTCTTTGAATAAAGAGATGAAGATAAAACTGTCCAGTTTTGCAGCTCGTTCGAGTCGCTAGCTGCAGCGAACTGAAAAGAGGAGCGACCCAGGGATGTGTGTGCTTTAGGGACATTTAACAGAATGTGACTGGCAGAACGGGTGTTGTATGCGGAGGATTAGGGCTGCAGTAGGGGGTGTGAGGCCTAAGAGGGTTTTATAAATAAGCATCAACCAGTGGGTCTTGCGACAGGTAATACAGAGATGAACAGTTTACAGATGAGTATAGAGTGCAGTGATGAGTCCTATAAGGAGCATTGGTGGCAAATCTGATGGCCGAATGGTAAAGAACATCTAGCCGCTCGAGAGCACCCTTACCTGCCGATCTATAAACGTCTCCGTAATCTAGCATGGGTAGGATGGTAATCTGAATCAGGGTTAGTTTGGCAGCTGGGGTGAATGAGGAGCGATTACGATAGAGGAAACCAAGTCTAGATTTAACCTTAGCCTGTAGCTTTGATATGTGCTAAGAGAAGGACAGTGTACCATCAAGCCATACTCCCAAGTACTTGTATGAGGTGACTACCTCAAGCTCTAAACCCTCAGAGGCAGTAATCACACCGGTGGGGAGAGGGGCATTATTCTTACCAAACCACATTACCTTTGTTGGAGGTGTTCAGAACAAGGTTAAGGGCAGAGAAAGCTCGTTGGACACTAAAAAAGCTTTGTTGTAGAGCGTTTAACACAAAATCCGGGGAGGGGCCAGCTGAGTATAAGACTTTATAATCTGCAAATAAGTGGATGAGAGAGCTTCCTACTGCCTGATCTATGTTGTTGATGTAAATTGAGAAGAGCGTGGGGCCTAGGATCGAGCCTTGGGGTTCTCCCTTGGTGACAGGCAGTGGCTGAGACAGCAGATGTTCTGACTTTATACACTGCACTCTTTGAGAGAGGTAGTTAGCAAACCAGGCCAAAGACCCCTCAGAGACACCAATACTCCTTAGCCGGCCCACAAGAATGGAATGGTCTACCGTATCAAAAGCTTTGGCCAAGTCAATAAAAATAGCAGCACAACATTGCTTAGAATCAAGGGCAATGGTGACATAATTTAGGACCTTTAAGGTTGCAGTGACACATCCTTAACCTGAGTGGAAACCAGATTGCATACCAGAGAGAATACTATAGACATCAAGAAAGCCAGTCAGTTGATTATTGACAAGTTTTTCCAACACTTTTGATAAACAGGGCAAAATAGAAATTGGCCTATAACAATTAGGATCAGTTTGATCTCTCCCTTTAAATAAAGGACGCACCGTGGCTGCCTTCCAAGCAATGGGAACCTCCCCAGAGAGGAGAGACAGGTTAAAAAGGTCAGAGATAGGCTTGGCGATGATAGGGGCAGCAACCTTAAAGAAGAAAGGGTCTAAACCATCTGACCCAGATGGTTTTTTGGGGTCAAGTTAAAGGAGCTCCTTTAGCACCTCGGATTCAGTGACTGCCTGCAGGGAGAAACTTTGTAACGGGGCATGGGAAAAAGAGGGAGGAGCATCGGGGCTAGTCGCATTAGAGGGGGTGGGAGATGAGGAAATGTTGGACGGGAAAGGAGGGATGGCTGAGTCAAATAGGAATCCTGACTTAATGAAGTGGTGATTAAAGAGCTAATTTGTCAGTAACAACCACATCATCAACATTAAGGACCATGGGCAGTTGTGAGGAGGAGGGTTTATTCTCCAGGTCTTTAACCGTTTTCTATAACTTCTTGGGGTTAGACCCACAGAGAGAGAACTGCTCCTTAAAGTAACTAATTTTGGCCTTCCGGATAGCCTGAGTGCACTTATTTCTCATTTGCCTGAACGTGAGCCAGTCAGCCTGAGTATGCGTGTGCCGAGCCTTTCGCCAAATGGAATTCTTGAGGTGGAGTAACTCTGCCAGATCACAGTCGAACGAGGGGCTGAACCTGTTTTTAATTCTCATTTTCTTTATGGGGTCGTGTTTGTTAACAATACCACTGAAAATATCAAAAAAGATGGTTCAATTGTCTTCGACAGAGGGGATTAAGCTGATTCTATACAAATTTACAGAGGCCAGGTCATGAAGGAAGGCTTGCTCATTAAAGTTTTTTAGCAAGCGTCTATGACAAATCGGGATGGGTCGTTTCACTGAGCAGCCATTACGAACACAGGCTGTAAAACAGTGATCACTAAGGTCATTACACCAATGTCGGCGAAACTTCGCAAATCAACTTGATTTGCGTTACCGAGAACCACATAACAGATTTTTAACAGGATCATTAGCATTAAGAAAATAGACAATTTCTTGCCCCGACCTAGCTCAATATCTAGGTGTTGGATAAGAACGAGACTACAGTCCATTAAGTGATCCTTAGACTTGCCACCTTTCGGACTGAATAAGTTTGTAAGGGCAACACTTTTGATTAAATGTATAATTTATTGCTCTCACGTGCCAATAGAGAACCAATGATGTGCTACCTTTTTGTAGCATTTCTGACAATGCTAATTTATTTTCAGCTGAATCTCAGTTCTAAAACCGGGATCAGAAACTCTGTTGCTGCACAACAGCAGCTAGCTGGGTCATTCCTACTAAGCGGTGCCATTTGGACCTCAAAACTTTGGGGGAAAAATGTGTTTATTTTTGTTAGTATTCTATCATGAAAAGGACGTTTGACTTTGAGAAAAACATATTAGTCTAGCTCAGGCACTTAAAACATGTTTGCATTTTCCAATTTGTTTGGTGCATAATCCTAACAGGGTGGAACCTAAAAGTGTGGAAATGTTGAACCTAAATTAGCCATAGCTCTGTGAGTGAGCAAGATTGAGCTAGCATAATGGTGAACACTTGAACAGGATTTTGACTTCTCTATCAAACATATTTTAACATTTATATATATTTTTTTCTATAATTTAGCCTAACAGGGTAGACATTTATGAGTGGGACATACAGACTAAAAACATGAAACATGGACAAATAGATACAACTGAGTGTTTATATTTATTTAGCTTTACACCATAGTTTTCCCACCAAATAAATGATGACACTTTCTGAATGTGGTGTCATTGTAGGAAGGGGTTGTTTTCTTAAATGGAGAATTACAACAAACTAACAGGGTGGAAAGTGATATCAGGGACACACAGAAAATCTTAACTAAAATAATAATAAATACAATAATCATGAAAAAAACTGTATTGATGAAAGAGACTAACTAGGACTATAAAAGAATGAAGAAAGATTTTAAAGATGTTATTATTTTATGGCTTATATTTCTTGTGGAAGTAGATAAATAACACCTAGGGAAATGGCAAAAATGCCTACATCCACTGACAAAAAGTGTTTAAAATGCATAAAATTCCCTTTCAGGATCCATATTTTGGTATTTTTAAGGTAAAGGACACCTGACCTTATATTTAAAGCCTTTTGGAATCGACATTTTACACTAAATAAGAACTGATATTTCCTGGGGACAGAAAAAGGCACTGCATTGTATGAATGACCCAGCTAGTAGCAGGCTAACAGCTGTAGCTAGCTAGCTAACACCAGTTGGATGAGAAGCAAGCCACAAGTAAAGGAGTTAGCTATATTTAGCTATAGAAGGTTTTCATATGACTGAAGTCATCTGTGTAAACTAAATCAGAGCACAAACAAATAA